TAATAGTTAGTAGCTACTTATTATAATTATATAAATATATACTAAGATAGATCTTAAAGAAGAACCCTCCTTTTTATAATTATATTTATTTTACTCTTTAGTCTAGTATTCTACTACTTATACTATATAAAATAGCCTCTCTTTTATTTAATAAATACTAGTTAAATAACTAAATTAACTAAACTATAAAGATAAAGGTTATCTATAAAGAGTAAATATAAAGGTTATTTTTAAAGATAAAGCCTTAAAGGATTTAAATAAAAAAGAATATTAATAAAGATAAAGGTTATTAATAAAGATAAAGGATATAAATAAAGATAAATAGTAAGTAGAATAAAGATTAAAAGTAAGGTAGTTAATATAATAAAGGAAGATTTAATAAGAGAAAACTATTTAATAATATCTAACTACTAGTCTATTTAAATATAAAAACCCTCCCTTTTCCCTAATATTTCGGTACTCTCTAACTTACTTTCCTAGTCTATCCTTATTAACTAAATACTTTTCTAATCTCTATATATAGAAACTATTTCCCTTTAATAACTTCCTAAGTCCTTTTATTATAATTATATCTACTAACCCTTACTATCTACTTTAGGTTTAATTTAGCTAGGTACCTAAAGTTATAAATATTATTATATATAATTCTATAAACCCTAAGGTTAAACTTTACTAGACTATACTTCTAGACTAGTATATTAGTATAATAATCGACTATATAGTATACCTTTTAAAGCCTACTACTAATACTCTCTTTAAATTAGGCTATTTACTTACTTAAGTATATATTATCTAAGGAGAAAATTAAGTTAAAGTTAGTCTAGGTTTAGTAATTACCTCTAGTAAATCTACTATATATTACTTCTACTATACTAGTATATTATATACTAATAATATACCTTCGGATAACTCGTACTTTTTAAACCCTAAGGCCTTTAGTATTAAGCCTAACCTAGGCTTTAGGTAACTACTATTAACTATATAAATAGTAGAAATAGTAATAATAATCTTTTAAGGAGGATATTTTATATTAATTTCTTAGTATTTTTTATTTAATAGACTTATAAATTAATTATTTATTTTACCTTAATCTTTTTTAAATAAAGAGAGCGGCTATATAAAGTAATAGTAAGAAACCCTAACTTTCTATTAAAGTATTATAAATATAAGTTAGAATACTATATATAACTAGATAAATAAAAGAAGGTATCTAAAAGTATAAAGTATATAATTAGAATAAAAGTTACTCTTAAAGTCTATAAGCTATATATATTATAGACTTTTATATATAAAAGGGGATAATCTCACTTCTCTTAGGTATAGTTCTAATAATATTAGAAATATATAATAATAATCAATTAGGGTAGGGTTAGTATCTAGGAATAGGCTAGAAAGATACTTTTCTAGCCGAGAATACAGCCTACCTAATAATACTATTGAAACCTAAGCCTTAGCTATTAGGAAACTAAGTATAGATTTTAATAAAGTTAATCCTTAGAGTTATTAAATAAGGACTAATTTCCTAAGGAAACTTAAATAATATAATAACTAAGGGACTTAGAGGATTAACTTAGAAGATTAACTTAAAGGATTAACTTAGAGGATTAACTTAGAGGATTAACTTAGAGGATTAACTTAGAGGATTAACTTAGAGGATTAACTTAGAGGATTAACTTAGAGGATTAACTCAGAGGATTAACTTAGAGGATTAACTTATAGAAGGAAAATTTAGGAATAGCTATTACTAAGGTAATATACTTCTAAATAAGATATAGTAAATTAGATATATAAATTTAAGGTCCCTATTATAAGTACTCAAAATTTTAAAGGGTTAAAATATAGTTAAGAGGTAGTTATAGTATATATAAGAAAATTACCCTTTTAGGATAACTGACCTTAAAATATAGGTAAATTTTAATCGCTTACTATAGGCGTAATCTTTATCTAAATTAAAAGTAGTAAACTGGATATATAAATTTAAGGTCCCTACTATAAGTACTAAAAATTTCAAAGGGTTAAAATATAGTTAAGAGGTAGTTATAGTATATATAAAATATAGCTGAATTAGGTTAGTATCATTCTTCCTATAGCCCTAAACCTTAAAGATATACCTTAACTTTAACCACGAATTCCAGACACTATACTAGCTAGATACGAAAGATAAGATATGATCTAGAATGCTTAAGAAAAGGGCTTTCTAGTGATACTAAAATAATAATAAATAGTCATTATTTTATAGGTACTTAGACTCTATGATTTCCTATATAGACGAACTTATCATACAAAAATAATAATAGTGGGTTCGATCCTAATGGCCTGCGACGGGGTATTGTCAGACTAGGGCATTGGAAATATGCGAATGTTAGCTCTGTATTCGGGATAGTTTTCCTACCAGCGATATGTCCTTCCTCCTACGAGGTAGTCGGTATCGTACCGGTCTTTATCTTTCGAGCTGGCAGAGAGAGAACTACATTGTTATCGTCGGACGGCACAGAGCGTTTCTGTCGTCCCCGAAGGGGCCTACCCTCCTAAAATCCGCAATATTGTATCCTAGTAGTAACAGCTTTATTGCGCCGTGTCCACTTGTCTTCTAATAAATCGGTGGTAGGCTAAGTAAAGAACGTCTCTATAAGAAGGATCTGCTCCGATGGCATTTCAAACTCCTTCTGTAGTACCTCGTGTGTAGGCTTATTACTGATAGCCCTACTAGTCAGCTGTCTTTTAATGTCAATCACTGCCTGTTTCCGACTAAAATCGCGGCGTATTTCTTTCTACCGCTTATCTTACAGACGCCGGCGTAGATTGTAGACTTAACGCTTCTGGTCCTCTAGTATCGCCCGTAATGCTGGGTTATAAGAGCGATTAGTGCACTGGGTCTCTAGATCGACTTGCTAGTGTATGGCTGATTGCAGTTCTGGGTCTTTCTCTACTGATTCCCGGTTAGCGTCGCTTAGGTATCGTGGTCGCCGCCGATCAATCCAACGGCTCATCCGGGTTACAGCCTTTGAGAACTCTTCGTCTGGATTGAGGCCGTATATGATCTCTTGTAAGCCAGTATGCCGACGGGGACGATAATGTTTGATAAATGTTCTGCTAGTGGCGTGGGCCATGATCACATTACGCTGTGCTTCACTGACAAAACCTAGGCAGAAGAGTTAGTCCGCTCATCTAGAGAAAATCAGAACCTTGGGTATTTATAGTCCACTCACCACTCTTGTCAAGTAAATCACCTCCGTATACTGCAATACTTTTTCTACACTTTGCTTCGGGCTGGTATAAGGTTGCCATTTTCATAGTAAGGCTATATAGTCTCCAATTCTACTACCTGCCAGAAAGATCTCAGTTCCGTGAAGTAAAGCCATCCACCCATGATACGCCATACTCGAGCTCAATTTCAACACATACACGCCGCAAGTAGGTACATAAGTATCCGTGCCCGCAGTCCATGCGTTATAGGAATCAATGGATTAGCCAGAGTCCGGGCAAAGATTTACAACTAGAATATGAGGACCTGTGAAGATGACGCCGAAAATGACCACTTTTGGCGCCAGAAACGGCCGCCTTTCCACCCGTAACTTTAGACGTCTAGCTAGCGCGGCACCCAGGCTACTAGCCCATTCAACCCAAACGCGATTGAAGAAACTGTTTAATAGTGCTAGGTATACCAAATCCTGTTTCTAGCACGGGTAGATATCAATTTATGTCCGCGATCCCCGGATACCGGACATAATAGGCCTGCCAGTCATCAATCTCAGTCATCTTGTGGAATCCCGGAAGCTGCACAATACGCCAGCGTATGTTCATCCAGCCCACGTCATCCTCAGTACACCCTTCAAGGGGCTCGAACTCCTCAGGCTCTGATATATCCTCGTCCTCAGAGTCCTCTTCAGGCACATCTGTCCATTTCCATTCAGCATTAACCATGCGGACATGCCCTAATTCATATTCTTCGAACCCTCCCAAGGGGGTGTTTAGAACGGACTCCATAGCCTCCTGGTCCACGGTGATGAAGAAGCGGTATCGGCCGCTCGTTGGAGTATAGTCTTCGCTTACGCCCTGTTCCTCTTTTAATGCAGTCTTCTTCCACTGATAGAAGTGCTCGCGTAGGGTGGCAACCGTGGCACCCTCAAAGGAGGGGTCTTCCAAGACCGTTGGGGCGAATGTGTCGAGGAGATCAAGGCCACTGTATTCCTTAAGGTCTTCTGAGACGGCGCCGACCATGCGAGCCATGAAGTTCTCCCAGTCAGAGTCATTGTGGTACGTGCAACGAAAGATCACGAAGCCCCAGGTTGTGAATCCATCCTCCTTGAGAAGTCCCTCGACCAGATCAGCCCCATTCATAAAGGAATACATTGTGGGATCGCGCTTTGAGCGAGAGGCCATTGTGGTGGATGTTGAGAGACTCCTGATTGTGTTGAAATGTGATGTAGATAAGGACTTTGCGAGACGTGAGGGAGGTTCGAAGGGAAAGCGAAAGAAGGTCGGGCGGGTAACGCTTGGGCGGGCGAATTGGCTGTAGATCGGTAGATGGCGTGTAGTTTGAAGTATCCTCCTAGTAGTCATGAGTGCGAAGGCAGGCCTTGGTTCTGTTGAGATGAGGATAAGTAGGGGAAAGAGGTGGGGGCTAGGGGGTATGGTCCAGGGGCAAGCAGGATCTCTCAAGTTTGCAGAGATTTAAAGTGGAGATGCGAGTATACCCTCAAACGCTTTAAATTGCTTAAATCTCAGGTTCCCAGGATGATGAAACACTACGCCCGTCTGGGCAAGGGGAGAAGTGATCGGAGCCTCGGAGGGCCGGCCGGGGAAGGGATTCGCGGGTCCGTGTTATCGGGCGGCTCGGAATAAGTTCGATACGCGCGCTATGGTCATAAATCAAGAGCAATTTCTTCTACCGTGGATACTCTGACCATTTAGTCGCAATCTTACCCACAAGACTGGGCAGTTGCACCTTGGCATGATGTCTTATCGACTTACACCACACTAACTTCATACATACGCATCTATGAAGAAACCCCCACACACACCGAGTACCCGACTCCTAGATACTCACAGTCCGATCCAATCGCAGGATTCCACTTGTATAGTTCAGCAAAAGTAATACCATACGCGGTCTCGATCTTGGCGCACGAATCGTTCGACACCACCGTGTAATACTGGTTGCAGTTCGACGCGATTCCCGTCTGAGTGGGTGCACTTGCTGTTGCGCTGGTCGTCGATGCCGGTCCCTTGACACAGTATGCTTCTCCTAGCCACAAATTGGTACAAGTAGAGCCAACACTGGGGTTCCACTGATAGAATTGAGCAAGGGTGATGCTGAACTTGGTCTCGACTGTGGCACAGTCGTCGCCCTTTGTAGTGGTGTAGAACTTCTCGCATCCCGACACAGTGTCGGTTGGAGTGGGCCCCATGGAAGAGGAGGAGGAGGTGGTGGTGGGGGTTTGGGTGGCAGTTCCACTGGCTGTAGTCGTTGCAGCTGCAGACCCGACACCAATACAGATGGCGCGGTCATCCGTGGCATTTAGGCTGGCATAGAGCGCAGTGTCACAGTCTCCTTCCAGCCAGCTGTTCCAGGACACAAGGTCGTCCATGGTCAGGCTGTAATCGTAAATGATGTCGTCGCAGGTGTATACTAGCATTTGATTAGTAATAGCACGATTGGGGAGGGTCAAATCATACCGTCAGAGTAAGACAGGTCGACGGAGGTGAAGCAATTGCAGTTGAATGCCGTTCCAGCCTCCGTAGCATTCATGGGAAGGCAGAGCCCACTATCAGTATCCTCCGTTGCTACATCTGCGTCAGCCTAATCTATTTGTTCGAGCCAGCGGTACTTACAGGCAGTGCTGTTTTCATACCGCAGGATGCAGTAGCTGTTTTCCTTGTTGAGCTCACAGGTGCTTGCGTTGTTCACAAGACTTGGATTCCAAGTGACCATTTGTTTCATTGTAATGCCCCAAAATGTCGCCATCGCCACACACTCAGAAGTATAGTTGGAAGGATTTTCGTAGTCATAGCAGTCTGGGATAGTGCCCGAAGCGGTGGGAAGGAGCGCCGCTCCCGTATACACATAGCCAGGATCGCTTGTGGCCGTAGGTATGTCAGTATTCACGTTGGTGAAGTTGACGGGCGTGACGGTGATGGGCAATACTCCAGTCACCGTGTAGTTTGCGTAGCTGGTGATTGAACCAACGGCCTTAACACAGTATGCCTCGTCAAGCAGGAGGTTTGTGCAGTTTGCGTCGATTTCTGGGTTCAGGAAGTAGAAGTCGGTAAGGGAGATAGAATGGGCGAGAGAGACCTTGGCACATTCATCGCCTTTTTGAACCTAGTAGAAATGAGCAAAGACCCAACTTGGATGGAAGGATCACTCACCGTATACCACTGGCTGCAGTTGCGGTTGCTATTGTCCATAGCATTTGTTGGGACCGCTGCAATGCCAGTGGCTACTCCAGTTTCGGTTGCGCTTGAGTCGGATCCACCAGCAGTCTGATTCAAGTAGCCACTCGGGGGACTGTAAAGGTCAATATTCCGTGACTCTCAAATTGAGATTGAAGCGAAATCTACTCACCTCACACACACCTCATATCCAATGAAGAAAATCGCATTCAGACAGAGGGAATTGATATTGGGGTTCCAGGAGAAGAACTGCGGAAGAGTCACATTCGCGAGGCCGCCGACGACACTATCGCAAGTGTCATCAGCCTGCCAGGTGTGTGTGGTGCACTGCGAGGGGACACAGAGTGTCTGGTTGACTTTCGCCGCAAAGTTTTGACAGTAGAGATCCAAGTCGTTGGTTTGCAGTAGGTAGTATGTAGAGACTCCCAGCGACTTTGCCACGGAGTTACAGTCGTCTGTTTCCTTCACCTGATAATAGTTTTCGCAGCTGGTTGTTGCCGAGCTGGTTGCAGGCGAGCTGGTTGCAGTCGCAGTTGCATTAAGCGCGTACGCAGTTGGGGAAGTGACTGAGTAACCCGTGGCGCTGCAGCTCGACGTCAAAGAAGTGAAGCTGTCCGCCACGCCCTCATCATACCCTAAGGGGCTGTTTAATTGAGTCTCTAATGTCCCCAGCCAACAATCCGAGCAAGAACCATTAACAGGCCAAGACCCGTTGGACCAGGAGAGCAATTGCGGGTCACAGTAACCCCCGGACCTAATGATGGTCAGAATCGATAATCATTGGCAGAATCACCACTCACTCATCTTTCCGACAAGATATGTCATAGGTCAACATGTACTTGTCAGCGATAAATGTAGCTGGATAAGCTACATCCTCAACGACGATCACATCGGTGGTCTCTGAGCAGGCCGCCTTGATGGTTGCTCTGGCGCTTTTCAAAGAACTATAGCAGGTGTCGACGCAAAGTTCATCGACTTGATCACCATCCAGAAGAGAGTTGCTGTTTAAATCAGCTTTGAGCCCGCAATTTATGAATCAGACCTACTCTGGGGACACAACGGGCAGAAATGCCGGACAGGACACATTAGTCGACAAGGCTTCTTTGCAACCATCGGTGAGACCAGGATAGCTTGTGAATCCTCGAATGCCAGCAGGCTGCTGGGCAAGGGCCGTGGAAATTAGTAGAGCCCACGGGGCAGTCCACATCCCACGCATCTTTGAGCAATGTAGTAATCACCACTCAAGATAATGAATTGGTGAGACTGCAACCACTAGATAGCCTGGTATACAAGTATTCCAGAGCTCAATTCACAAGGAAGAGAGAAGAAAAGTGGAAAAATGATGTTGGGACTTCGCTGAGTAGTTCCATATGCAGAGCAATTTTATCATTCTGCATCTAGACAAAGTATATGGCTCGTTCAGCACTGGCCCCCAAGGGTACAATCGTTTCCACATCCACTTCACTTCCAATCGGGCATATCCCGGACGGGTCTCACGAGGATTTTGAGATTACTGCGGAGCTCAAGGGCTGCCGCTTGGTTAGACTAGAATCAAGCATGCAGGCGAAGACTTAGCGATCACTTGAAACATGAGAAATTTTCTTTGGATCGAGTTTAGCGAGGGATTCCAAGCTACGGAGTACGCGAAGAGTACCTCAGTGGCTTGATGCGGATCCTTCGGCCGCGTACCGTGGGCTCGACTAGTAGTCCCTAGTAGTCCCTGGCTTAGCGTCGGTTCACCTACTCATCCTGTCTGAACCGGGGGCCTAATGGTGGGTCGTAAAATTAAATCAAACCGCGCGTGCAGTAGATCGATTTCACGCTCCGTAGTTGAGAGTATGGTCAGTGGCCTTGACGAAGATTTGAATTTTTGAATTTTTGGATGGGATCTTTTGATACCGCCAATCCGAGTAGTATTTGGCTTTCTATAATCAGGCTGATTTGTAGAAGCCTAGAATAGCAGAATATTTATCGCAACACCAATATAAGATACTTTTCACAAACTCCGGATCGCTCGGTTGATCCACCAGCTTCAGTTAATTAATACCTCATTATCAGTGCCGGTGGTTTCATCCATTTTTCGGATACCTAGACGTGGTGGGGCTTTATGTAGGATACCTAGTGTAGAGCTGAAACCACCCGGTGTAGACCCACATGGCGTATCTGCAAGCATGCTGGAACAATGCACTTAGCGTATACTGCCCAAAGGCCTTCTTTGCAGGGCTATCTACATTTCCTGTAAAAGGAGGGATTTCTCCAAGTCCAGTGTATCAATGCTCAGTCTATTTTGACCCTGTTCGTTCTTTCCATCATCCTTTCCTTCATTTCTCTTGCATGAGATTGCCTTGAGCAAGCCAATCTGCTGCAATGGCTACTGGTCAAGCTTTCAAAAAGGAGCACTTCTTTCGTGTTCTCTTTGGCATTGTGCTTGGCTTATTGTGTCTGGTCTTCTGGCCGCACAGCTTGAAACTGTCTGGCTCTAGTATTGCTCGCCGCGCTTCCACTGTTGACAGCTTAGAAGTCAATAACCACGTTTCCATCTCTGCCCGAGATGATTACTCCTGCAGTGCTAGCAATCCCTGCAGCAATGGAGCTTGCTGCGGTGCCAGTGGCTACTGTGGCTACGGTGATACATACTGTGGCAAGGGGTGTGTCTCAAACTGCGATGCTATTGCAGAGTGCGGAAAGTACACGCAGCCTGCGAACAAGACATGCCCACTCAACACTTGCTGTAGCGAATTTGGATTTGTGGGTTGCTATTTCATAAGTTAGACGAACACGGTTAACCTCTATTAGTGCGGGACAACGAAAGACTTCTGCAATGGTATGTCCTTCAGTTCCTGATCTCAACCAGAGACTGACGACTAGAAGATGCTTGCCAGAGCAACTGTCATCTGAATGTCACTGTCCCGGCAGGTGGATCCTCAAGCGGTGTACTGCAAAACAAGGTCATCGGCTATTACGAGGCATGGATGGCTCGTAAGAGCTGCCACAAAATCAAGCCGGTCAACTTGCCATTGGATGCACTGACTCAGTGAGCCCTATTGCTTTCCTAACCAGTCATGCCCATGCTGACATTGAGCAGTGTAAACTTTGCATTTGCATCGATTGATCCTTCCACATATCAGGTCGTTGCGATGGACTCGGCAACTCCGACAAGTCTCTTCTCAGATGTGACCAACCTCAAGTCTGTGAAGGAAGATATCAAGGTCTATGTCAGCATTGGAGGGTGGACTTTCTCTGATAACGGCACCGACACACAGCCCGTGTTCGGAGATATCGCTGCATCCACGAGCAATCGCAAAAAGTTCGCCAATAATGTGGTACACTTCATGCGTCAATACGGTATCTTCACTTATTTGTTTGTTTGTCTTATCTAATCTTTAACAGGGTTTGACGGTGTCGATCTTGATTGGGAATATCCTGGTGCTGGTGACCGAGGTGGCAAGGCCAGAGACACAGAAAACTACGTCCTCTTGCTCAAGACCCTCAAAGAGGTTTTCGATGATAGCGGAAACAAGTATGGGCTGACCTTCACAGCCCCTTCGTCATACTGGTATCTTCGATGGTTTGATCTCCCAAAAATGGTCAAGTACGCGGATTGGATTAATATCATGACATACGATCTTCATGGAGTGTGGGATGCCTCCAATCCGATTGGAAGTATTTTGCAGGGACATACTAATCTGACTGAGATCAAGAGTGCCCTCGATCTTTTTTGGAGGGTTGAGGTCCCTCCCTCGAAAGTGGTCCTGGGTCTTGGATTTTACGGTCGTGCGTTCACCCTTCAAGATAAGGAATGTTCAAAGCCCGGTTGTGCATTCAAGGGTGCCTCGGGCCCTGGGTCCTGCTCGGATACAGCTGGTATGCTCGCGTACTATGAGATTGCCAGCATTCTGCAGGGAACCTCGAAGAAACGAGCCACCATCTCCCCAGTCCACGATAAGGAGGCTGCAGTCAACTATTTCACCTTTGATGACAATCAGTGGGTTTCATACGATGACAAGACTACATTCAAGCAAAAGGTCTCCTGGGCGGATGAAGTCGGGCTGGGAGGGGCAATGATCTGGGCATCTGACTTGGGTATGATTTTGCTTGCTCTGAGCGAATTTACACTAACTATTCATTAGACACCGATAAATACGATGCCCATACAGACCTCATTGATCGAGAAATCATATCGACATCAACACTCAAGCTTGAGAACAAGGCAAAGGCAAATCCCGGGACAACCGTCGAAGATTTGTTTGCGTTCACAGGGCAGAAATGCTTCAAGCACACAGGGAAATGTCTCAAAATTGACGATACAAAAGCCATGTCCAAAGCATGTGGCAGCGGCTATACTGTTGTCGGCTGGGACGACGCAGGGTGCGGAAAGTCCAACTGCGTAAGTGAACCATCTATGCTCGGTCAATTCATGTCTCACGATTCTGTCTTCATCAGCATTGCGGAAAGCCGATTTGTTGCCCAACTGGTGCCGCCCCGAAGAACTGCATGTGGCGTGGACAGGATACTGGCCAAAAGGGAGCTAGTTCTGACTGCAGCGGGCAATGTGCCGCGGGAGAAATCAACGTTGCCGGCATTCGCTCTTCTTGGGGTGGCGGGTATCTCAACGATAAAAACACGGGCAAGTGCGGTCGTGGCTATAAGGCATTCTGCTGTCCAGACCCTGACTACAAGCAAGTTACCAAGACTTGCTCTTGGGCCAAGTGGTGCGTACCAACTCAAGTCAATTGACTATGCACCAACTGACTTTTTTACACCTCCAGTGGGGAGAACTGCCCACCCAGAAAATCTGCTGTTCTAACAAAGTATGACGAATGTTATTCCAAAGGACGAAAGTATTGTTGTTCCGATCCAGCGGAGCTGGTCAGTTGCCAATGGGAGAATGGAAGCGGCGGTGACGGCGATTGCGCGAATGCCGTGTGCAATTCAACTCAAGTTGAGATCGCCAAGTCTACCTTAGGTGATGGCAGTACCTCTTGTGAATGTAAGTTTGTCTACTTTCAATCTCTCGTTTTGCTTTCTGTATAGTGGCCTAACAAGGATCTGATTAGGGGGCCGACAACGGTCAGGATGCTGTACAGTGACGAAGGCGCCAACCCGCAAGGCAACCTGCACTTACAACATCTGCGACTTGGATTCCGACTATTGCTATTCCGATCCGCTTCTTTATAAGAGAGACGATCAAGACACCCCAGACTCCGATTACAGTGGTGACGACTCCAGCATCGCCAAACGTGCTGGTAGAGAACGCAAGACATTCAAAATTGTACTTGGGACATTCAGCTACTGGATCGCGGGCTATCCAAGCATTGGCAAGCTCTTAAATCCGGAAAAATACGGAGCTGCTTTACTCACAAAGGCTTTCCGAACGCGGAGCGGCTTTTGCGCAGGCTCTACGCTGGATATCGTCAACTTGCCGAAAAATCCTACTGAAAAGCAACGAAAAGATCTTGACACAGAGCATCCGCTTGACAAGGGGTTGCAGGGACTTTTCTACAAGTACATGGGGAATCGAGAGCTCCCAGGCGATAGATCCGCCAATTTCCCAAAGATTGATCCCAAGTTCTGGGACAAATTCAATGAGCCCAATGCAAAACTAGGTGCCATGGCTCAATTCGGCAAGGACCGCAAGGGAAAAAAGCCGATGTCCCCGGCAGAGTATTTGGCCGAAGCTTATGGGTCCGAAAGGAACCCACGGCCCTTCATGCCGGTTGAAAATGGCCTGAATATTGCCAAAAGAGATATTTTCTTGGGCAAATCTCCGGTCCAAGCTACAAAGCTCAGGAAAGCTGCAACGTCCGCTGTCAAAGCGGACACAGATACAGCGGCAGACAAGATGCTTTCGTTGCTTCAAACTGTAAGTGGCTATGGCTTTGTTCTGGATTTCACGCAAGCTAACCCAGGTTTCTAGGCCTTTTCCTCCTTTGAATATATTCGAAATGAGATGTTTCTGGAGAGATTCGACGGAGTGATCGATGATACATTCACAGCTTGGAGTAATATCGAGCAGGCGACTGAGACGTATAACCTGCAGAATTGGCACGGGTTGGTCTTGGATGCTCAGTTCACGTATGCCCTGGATCAGGCACGTCGCTGGACACGGGAATCAATTCGAATTGCCAGGGCTCCGTATGTCGAAGCATATGAGGCCGGTCGCAGCTTGGCCACTTATGATCGTGTGATGACTGCCTTGGATCAGTTTGAGGATCTTATCTCGCAGATTAAGATGCCGGATGTTACTTCCGAGGACTACAAGAAGCGGAATCCCTATAATGGTGAGGGGCCAAGTGGATCTAACTCATGATTTAGAACCTTGAAAATTTACGATTCCAATTCAATGATCAGCCTTACCGAGTCTTCCAGCGATGCATCTTCACTCTGGTCTTTCGGAGAGCTATGTTGGTCTGGGATCGATCGATATATACTGCGTATGACGGAAAGTGGGTTTCCCTGCCGAGCTTCGTCTTTCGCAAAGAGGAAAAGGTGCCTCAAGATGATTATTTTCAAAATCTCCCAGCGAGATGGTGAGGCTCGGGAGCTTGAATGTCGTAACTGATGGCAAATATAATCAGCTTTGTAGTCTTAAAGCAGTTGAAGTGTCTGAGGCTGGTAGGGTACCGAAGGCGCAGCAGCAATGTATGGTAGAATCGATGATTGTAGGAGACAAGAGAGAAAAAGAGAGAGAAGCTGTCGAAATCTAAACTACGCGGGAGCCAAACGGGGAGCCAAACATAGCTATAACCGAGGAATCTAGGGAGAGAGGCAAAAGCGGGCTGAATTGGCTAAATCTACTACTCATTGCCTAGCTGGGGAAAAGAAGGAAGAGAGAGAGAGGGAGCTATATAGTCCGGATAATCACCTAACCTTCCAATCCAAGAATAACCAACTAGCCTCCGAATACTGCGAGAGATGAAAGGGAAATAAAAGTAGAAAAGTAGCTATAAAACGAAGTTTACGTCGGCGGGGGAAGGAGCATCTCCCTACAATTGCAATCGTCACGTCGCCACCTGTTGGCTAAGTGTCAAGGTAATGTACGAGTTCTTAGAGTAAAAGACTAGGAATAATTGATTTTTCAATGAAGTACAAGTAGTGATTTAAGGTGTGATGTTTGTGGGTCTATTGAGCCCCGGTAAGTGGGGCCTTTGATGGTCTTTAATGCTATTCCTATTAGTGTACTACCATAGAAGAAAGCGGTCTATGGTAGAATCTTAGACTTAAGAAGATAATATATAGTTAACCCTATTAAAATATCTTAAATCCGCCTATATAATAAAGGGCTAATACCTAGTACTAAAGCTAGGCTTAGAACCTATACTTTTATAAGTAGACTTCTTAGGGAGTTAAATATGAACTATTAAAACCTTAGCGCGATTTAGCCTACCTGAGACATTTATTTCCGAGCCTCCGTAAAAAAAAGAATATTTGGAAATGTTCCTCCAGAATCACCCCAAATGAAACTCAAATCCTCTTATGTCCGAGTGCTACCGCTGATCCAGGGATTTGGGCTTATTTCGGGTTCGGCTGTAGCGGCCGAGATTTCCGAGTGCGTAAAACCAAGTGTATCTTCGGAGTCACATGGAAGCTTCATCTCCGACCCGAACTCGGAGCTCGGCTTAGTGGACAGGCCTTTTCCATATGAATTTGCCGAGGGGTCCAAGTATACCTGCCTGCCATAAGCCCGAAACATAAAAAAAGACCTGCAATTGAAAAGAATGATGGATTAAAGCATTGTAGCGTTTCTACGTCTGCAGTATCGGTGGAGATACTATTCAACAAGGGCCGAGATTTATTAGGCGTGAGTAGAAATAGTTTGAACGCTGAGACCATGCGGCGGTTAATGTTGTTACGAGGTATACAGTCCACTGCCACTAGTAGCAGACCTCTATTATCCAAATAAAATAGTGTGCCATCCTGAGTGGTGTGTGTGTCTATCTCGAATGATGACATTATTTACCAGATGATCGACAAATAGTATTTCTTACTTGGATAGAGAACCCTCATTTGGACGAGAGATAAAACAAGATGTCGGAATTGTGGATCTATGTAATTAGATAATCCTTACCCTACAAACAGAGGAGCTACTCCGGCACCGAGTCACCGACTCTCTTGGCGCCCTATCTAGCATGGACACGAGCCTCTGTGAGGCCTGACGGACAAGCCGACAGTTGCGAGACAAATTGTTGAAGATATTCGGGGAATCAGGAAAGTTCACGCTCTAACACGGCTCTACTAACACTGCCCAGTAAGCGTCACGTAACGAGTTATTTCACTTTATAACTCTCCAATCTTCCAATTTCTTTCACCTCGCTTACTGATGGGTCAATCCGTTATTGCTATGTTTAAGCACCAAGGCCTGTAATGCGAAATTGGATTTCTCTATGCATTCGGACTGGCCTCGCTATGGCAAATCTTATCAATAGATAAATAGGTAGGTTGCATTCTTAACTACTAAGATGCTCCTTGAACCACTCAAGTGCTTGCAGAAACGCGCTCTGCATCGCGTATCTCACCACGGGGCTCTCGTGATCGCCTCGCACCGCAAAGCCATGCTTGACACCACCATATAGGTTCATTTGCCAGGGAAGGTTCAATTCTTTTAAGATAGCCTCCGTCTCCTGGCGCTTCTCTGCGGGAAATATGGCATCAAGCTCGGCGGCAGCAATGGCCAGCGGGCCCTTTATGCTTTTTAATTCATTCGCTTCGACGTGCGATGGGTGCGCAGTGTACCCAACGTCAATCTTTCCCGGAAGTAGGTGTCGAACGACATATTTGCCGCCGAAACAGTACCCCACAGCTCCGAGTTTCTAGTTTATCCTCAGTAAATATTGTCTTCGACAACTCCAAAAATACGTACCTTACAATTAAAGTTTGTATGCATCTCTCTGATGCAAGTCTCAACAATAGGATCGATATCTATGGGAAGATGAGCTTTTCCTTGGGGATGGTATTCTCCCATTCTCCACTTCTGCATGTCGAATTCGCCTGGTTTGTTCAGCGGTACAGGGTCACCGTGAAAGAGGTCCGGCATCATAACAAAATAGCCATTCGTCGCAAACTGGTCAGCGATGAGTTGAGCGTTTGTGAACCGGTGGCCAATGATGTCCGTGAGTCTATCCATCAGATGGTAAGTAAGCCCAGAGTAATCGGTATGAGGCCAAAATCGAGGATTATCCGCACTTACATCAGGATCCCATTCTCCGTTGACTTGTTAGGAGGGTGGCTGGTATAGACCTCGAATCCATTTAGGGTTGTGATGGTGCCCAGTGGCTTTCCATAATGTTTGCACCCTCGGTAGCAGCATGATTGGGATGGGTTGGAAGCCATTATTGGATAAGGAGGCGAGCACTGAAGGAGTAATCGCACTTTTCGAATGGATCTTTGCCCTCGGCTAGCAATTGCTTTTTTGATTCGAGCTTTCACTCAATTCAGGTGGGAGGTACCATTTAAATATTCACACAGCTAGATTTCCCGATATCGTTAATATGTCCGAGGCTCGCACGAACGAAATGACAAAGTTTCTTTATCCCGGGTGGTATTTTGCTTCCCGGTGGGACCCTCAGAAGGCGATTTGAAAATCATAAGCGGAAGCAGCTGTTGGGCCTAAAACCCTACTTTCGGAGTTAAAAGTATGAGCATTATCGAACCGAAATTGTTCGGGGATGAAGATAGGTCTCTTTGAATAGTCGCCGACGCTGGTAAAAGTGGGGCCGACGGTTTCCCAGGGTTCAGATAAGTCGGACTTCGCTTCCCGAACCAGCCAGCCCGTTTAAAGCCGGACCGAACAACAAGTCTTCCAAATGGAGCAAGTTCGTAGACATTAAATCCGGTGCAGTTGATATATAATTCAATATTTGTCCAACAGATCAAACAGGATCACTTTTTTGGATGACAGCCTCAAATTTTCTAATTGTGTGGTATCGAGTGACAATCCAAATATTTTCGCAAACACCCCTCAGCCCATCTTTTGTTTTTGTCTCCAACTTTTCAGGACGGTGGCCCAGTCGGGGCTTGAAGAGATGGCGGCATTGAAAAAAGAGCTCGTTACTCCCGATAATTGGTCAGACCGGGATGGTACGACCCGGTCGATACTCTCCAAACTTCGAATCCGGCACCCAGATCACGAAGTGGCTCATACCCACCGCCTAGGTCATTTGAAAACGGATAGTGAGCACCTAGTACAGTTTGACGGATCGAACGATCCATATAAACCATTGAACTGGAGCTTCACCAAGAAAAGCGTCACCACCGTTCTATACGGCTTTATCACAATGGGTAAGTTCTCCTCGGTTCTTTGATTATTATGTTAGGTAATTGACATCTCTGGCCCTTTTTTAGGCTCTGCATGGGCTAGCTCTGCGTAATTTCTATGGATCTTCCTTTTTATCTCCATGCTAACCTAATGCAGATTCTCTCCTGCCATCTCAGACGTTGATAAGCAGTATCGAATCTCCAAGGAAGTTGGAACCCTCGGCGTTTCTTTATTCTTGTTTGGAGTCGGACTAGGTCCTCTCTTATGGGCCCCCTGTTCGGAAGTTTATGGACGCAAAGTCGCGGTTTTAGCTCCATACGCGATTGCTGTCGCACTTTCATTTGCCACAGCCGTCTCGAAAGATATTCAGTCTATCATGATTACTCGTTTCTTCACCGGGTTTTTTGGTTCCGCCCCTATTACAAATGTGGGTGGTGTTCTGGCCGATATTTGGAGTTCACAGAGCCGCGCTATTGCAGTGACAGTGTATGCACTCACCCTAGTGTCTGGGACAGTGATTGCACCAATTGTGGGTGGAGCGATTGAAGTCACAAATCTTGATTGGAGGTGGACTGAATATGTAAGTTTGTTCCGGTGTACTCGGCCTACCAAAAGCAATGTGTTATAACTAGATCGCAGATTACTGGAATAATTATGGCCCTCTCATTAATATTAGGGGCCATCTTCTTGGACGAAAGTTATCCACCTGTGCTGTTGGTCTACAAGAGCCGCCAACTTCGTCTACGGTCCGGAAATTGGGCACTTCACGCCCAACATGAAGAATGGGATGTCACTTTAAGCGAGCTATCAAGCAAACATCTGGCACGACCATTTCAGTTGTTAATGACGCCAATATGTTTTGCTATCGCTCTATACGCCTCTTTTGTCTATGGGGTTCTCTATCTCAGTTTGGCTTCATTCCCGATCGAGTTCCAAGAGCTCCGCGGTTGGAATCCGCTAGTCGGGGCTTTGCCATTTCTAGGTCTTCTTTTCGGGTTCTTCCTTGGTGCCGCAGTTAATATAACCAACCAGAGATTTTACAGTCAACGATTCCAAGCGAACAACAATCGTCCCGTTCCCGAAGCCCGACTCCCACCTATGATGATTGGTTCAGTATTTTTTGCTGCGGGCTTGTTTATATTGGGTTGGACTAGTGAGCCGCATATATTCTGGTTTGGCCCCATCTGCGGTGCTGTATCAACAGGGCTTGGCTTCTTCACCATTTTCCAAGCCGCATTGAATTATCTGATTGACACATTTTCTGAATACTCCGCGAGTGCTGTTGCAGTCAATACTTTCCTACGGAGTATATTTGCCGGCTGTTTTCCAATCTTTGCGAATGCGATGTTTCATAAGCTGGGAACAGCTTGGGCATTCAGTCTTTTGGGATTTGTTGCCGTCGCTCTCATTCCGATTCCATTTGTATTTTATATATATGGCCCACAGATCAGAGCCAGAGACAGATGGTCCAAAATATCCGTTTAGCACCTGATCCGAGAAGTGAAATTTTAATCCTTGAAATAGGGTAAAAGCCGCCATCATCCATCTGCTGTAGCGCTCAACTCATATCAGCTTCGAGCGATGAACCTGTCTTGCTCCCAATCGCTCTCGTTTACTTTGTCTTGTCACAAACCAGGTAGATTACCAGAATGGACAATGAAAAAGTAAAGGTCTGATAGAAAAAGCGTGCGGATATAGTAAAATGTGCAACATAGATATTTGCATAAGCCTCCGCGAGATGGATCAACTGTTTGTCCTATAACGGACGCTGCAGAATTTTGGGTTTTCCTTAGATTGCAACTAGTTTATGCCAATTGTTTCACTTGATTACTCCTTCCCAAGCTTGCACGAGACGAGACTTTACTTATTTATTTTAGGCTGAGCGGTGAGTAACCTCGGTTGGGACACCTACCCAAAAAAACAAGTAAAATTTCAGAAGCGCCGGAAACGCCAGTAGCCCAATTTTTCGGAGGGATGGAGATCCTACACTAATTCCTTCTCGGGTGGACTTTCATGGAGTTAGAGAAGGTGAGCTAGGCGAGACAAGCTGAGCGAATACAATCCAAACCACGTGCAAAGTAGCATTTCTCAGAGCAATGGTGACAACATCCTTGTGGCTAGCCAGCATGTCATTGAATTTCGAAATGTTTTCACCTCTGATTGTCAAAGAAATGTAGGCGCCAAACGTTGTACCTCAGCGTTCTACCGATTTTGAGATTATATTATTTCCAGTTCTTAACAAACTCTGCAGCATTGTCTGAGTTGGAAATTCAAAACTTTCAGCTCATGCTGGTATTCTGCGGCTACACGATGAACCCAGCCAAGAACCTGACAGACGGCCTGAAGTCCTTTCTTCAACTTTCGAACATCTTTTTTGCTTGTTTGAAAGTCATCTATCACATTGCGTGGTGACAAAAAGCTCTGCAAGGCAAAGCCGGCAAGGAGCAGAATACTCGTGGTCACGGAGAGAGGGTCGACCATGCTTGTTAAGGCTGAAGCTCAGGGAACAAATTGATAGAGACATAAGAACAAATAATGCTTTTTTAGATTGAACGTAAATGATGACGACAAGCAGTGAATCAACATTGTCTACGACTGGCGTTCCGGGAAAACTATATGTTCCTTCAATTAGCCCAGTGAGCATGGTCGTGGTCCTCGTTTTCTCCAATCCAATTTCTTGGAGAAAAAAAGGGAGGAGCCGGCTGGGCCGGCTGGCAATGGCCCAATCCCTCAGGAAACTGCGGCAGCAGGGGGCAGTAGCAGAAACTAGAAGAGACAGCATGAAGTCAGACCAAGTTAGTTAGGATCGAAATAGGCACCCAAATTATCGATGCTGTTCTAGGCGAAATTCGGGATAAGCGTGAATCTCGGAGGAAAGACGCGGACACGTTAAGTCGGATTTCGGATATAAGCGGTATACCGAGCAAAAAGACCACAAATGGGGAAGTGAACTCCGAGGGTGGCTGCTGTATTGAGCGAGACTATATAATATGATAGATTCCTATTGATAGGACTGAAATTGCCTGCCCTTTACAGCTCTCAAATACGAACGAGAAAATACCTCGGTCATTGAAAATGGGGAAGAACATTCGTTTGACCTTTGCATGCGGTCCTTACGACCGTATGGATCCTCTAGCTAACAAGGCTGTCGACCCTGTCGGAATTGATCTCAACTACATCACGATTAATCATCCGCGGGAAATCTTTGACCGGATGATCAGAGGCATGGAGTTCGATTTATCTGAAATGTCCAGCTCGGAGTATGTTTGCCGATACGCGGCTGGTGAACGAGACTTGGTTGGCATTCCGGTGTTTCCCTCGAGGGCTTTCCGCCATAGTTGCATCGTGGTCAACTCAGACATTATCTCAAGCCCATCCGACCTCAATGGCAAAAGGATAGGTGTCCAGGTGTACACTATGACCGCAGCTGTTTGGATTAGAGGGGTTCTGCAGGATGCAGGAGTCGATCTATCTACGATTACTTGGATTGAAGGAGACCTAGTCAAACCTGGTTCCCACGGTCAACCCAAGACAAAGCCGCTGCTCCGTCCAGTGTCCCGAGTCCCAAATGAAAGCCCGAAGTCGCTCAGTCAACTTCTTGAAGAGGGTGAGATTGCAGCCACAATTGGCGCTCACGCTCCGCCATGCCTCGCAAAAGCATCCCATATTCGACATTTGTTCCCGAATATTCGCGAAACCGAGAAAGAATACTACCAGAGGACTGGAATCTTCCCTATCATGCATCTTGTCGTCATCAAGAGAGCGGTTGTGGAAAAGCATCCTTTCGTCCCGCGGAGTTTATTCCAGGTAATGAATGAGTCCAAAAACATTGCTCTGCGTTCAATGAGACTTGCATCAACTTATCGGTATATGTTGCCGTTCCTCTCATCCGACCTCGAAGAGATAGAACAACTATTTGGTGGTGATCCATGGCCTTACGGAATCGAGTCTAATCGCACAGTTTTGGAAGCGCTGGTGAACTTGCTGTATGACCAAGCTATGATTTCTCGCAGGATTTCACTTGAGGAGTTATTTCCATTCCCTTGTGAATAAGCAGTTTATGTAACTAGAGAGAATTGTACTAATTCAAATCCGTGAATGAGGCGATTTGGGCCGCAGCAAGGAGAATAGTAGATGGCAGAAACGAATCCAATGGTAGATCCTAGATGTCCTTACATTGTCCCCCGGATAACTGTCAGGGATATACATGAAGCATACAGGACGGATGGAGATATGATCTGCGGGACCCACATGGTGTATATGGGTTCCCCTGAACGCGAGGAAGCTACCTTTCCTTTGCTTCCTCGCGCTACGTCTTGTATCTAGAATAGACAATAGCTTCCTCAATATTGATCATTCAACTACGTATACGTGAGATCCTCACAAGGAGCGCGGCAGCTCCTAGGACCAGTACATGGTGTACAAGGTACCGCGATCGGCACAGGTACTAACGTTCGCCCGTATCTGTTGACTTGTTTCCTGCATCGAAGCGGCGTCTCGAGAAGATGTGCTATAATATTCTCTAATACATATGTATACAACTCCCGGGTTTATCGAATAGAAGCATGATTCGGTAGACCCTAGAGAAACAGCGAATACGCCTAAGGGCTTAGAGTAAAGGTACAGGGATTTTCCCCTGCGGTACTATACTCGGGTCAGGATTTATAATCGAAAATCCATCCCATGCGCGATATCCTCAAGCTAGCCGTCCAGTTCCCCGCGTGGCGGTCAGGGCTGCCACATTCTATCGTAGCTGTTGACATCTACCGCCCAGGATTATAGGCAGCGCTAGCCACAGGCTATACAGACGGGGTTACTGGCCGAGGGGAGCATCCCTTCGTACACAAGCAGTCGGCAGCGGCAACGAAAATGGACAGGCGGCGAGCAGTCCTTCGCTCAATTTATTCAGGAACATATCGCGTGGGTTATTCAGTTTTAGCTTTCGTGCGACTGCTAGGATAGGCCCAAACGCCCGTTATATCGAGATTGCGGCTCACCGGCATCTCACGAGCCCGGCAAGGTATAGGCAGCAAGGCTAGGCACGATGGGGTCTAGTAATGGTTCAGGCTGGCGATGTCGATAACGGTTTTTTGGGGGACATTTCGGTCGCGGGCTTGACCGTCAGAATCGTTTGCGGCGAGAGCGCTGCTTCGAGGACGAGGAAGGAGGTAATAGGGTGATTTGGGCGGGTCAAGCAGAGTAGACTAGTGATGCAAATAAAGCGAAGTTGCTGAATTGGTCGACAACCTAATACAGTTGGGATTTTCTCGGGCAACTTAGCATTCTGCAAGATGTATCCTTTGTAGATGGCTCGAGAAATCGCGTGGAGAGGCTCGCACGTTCTGGACTGAGACGCTCGGGTCGCGTCGATGACGCGCCTGGTCGGGATTCACGTGACGGGGGGTTGTCTGTTGTCTGTCTCCGCGGACTGACCAAATGAGATCGAATTTACTAGCTGTTCGGTTGCAATTGGATAGGGCTGGCCGGTCTGATCTGCCATGTAAAGTCCAAAATGCTGAAAGCTGAGCCGGTCATGATGCACGGAATGCTGCACGCCTGCCCTGAAGGGCGTACACGCTGTTCGGGTCTGTCCTGAATTGCCGTTCCTCACAGAGATTCCGGTCTATCTGCTACCTCGTCCATAATCACTTCTCTCGTAGCTCTCCACGCCGACCACAGCGTTCTGTCATGTGATACCCTTATCGCCAAACACAGAAAATCCTCTATTTTTCAATCATGCAAAAAACTGCGTGTTGATTTTTGGAATCCTTAATTCGACTTCAGCAGAATCCAAGCTGAACCCCTTGCGTCACGTGATGAACTTACGGCCGCGGCCGCAACGCGTACTAGAGTTTTCCGGAATTCGAGAAGGCCATGATGCGCCAATTGGAATGTTGCTCTCTTTTCCCCTTGCCGCTGCTCTCGCACGCCTAGAATCCGCTCGATATTTCAAGAGACGGCACGAGTTTTGCTTGAGACCGCAGGGGAAAAGATACACTTTTGTGCTTGGTCCGCCGATAGTTGGCGCAGGGTGCTGAAGTCGAACACGCTGATTACAACCGTCCGTTTTCTCGTCTGAACTCTTGCCTGCCGTTGTACCAGCCTCAGCCTCGCCGTCGCGTGTATTCCTTGTAATGGCAGCCGTCGCATGCTCTGAGGCACGTGTCGGGTGGATGATCGTGGGAACGAAGAGAGTATCATATGGCATACCAGGCTTGACGTAGTCATCGAAGTCAACATTGAAGTGGGGACGGTCTGCACCGGGACTTTATGGAGTCTCGCAGATCGGCTTGCTTCGATCGCGGATCTTTGGACAAAGTGCAAGGGCGTGGATCCGGGCAAGGACGTGCCTCCGATGCGGTGGAAATCAGTGTCATCGTTTAGGCCGTGCGTGTTATGGGACTTCGGTGAAAAAGACGTATCAGAGAAGCGAAGAAAGACTGCCCGCCTGAGATCGTGAGGTGGAGGTCACTCGACCTCGTTTCGCTGAAAGGAGTCGGGGAAATTCGCTGGCGTTGAGCTGCTTGTCATAAGGTAATATATCATATTGTCGGTGCTCATTGTCGGCTCAAATCGATGGAAGGTCGAGTGGTGTCTCGAGGACGTCTCGATCGGGAGTGGCCAGGCAGATCGATCGCGTCGCGCGGCAAGGCGGTGAGGGTTTGCACGACGCGCTGTACATGCTCCTACTGGGCTCTAGTTCTAGAAATTGGCAGGGACATTTACAATGGAGTTACATTAAAGTATGCGAAATCAGAAATAAAATTAAGCAGGAATTGCGTGTATATATACTCGGTACTGAGAGAAAGATTCAAAATAGTACCAGGCAAAGTAGATGCGCGCGGGAACCAACCACATCCACCAAATACCCGCATGTCACCGTATGTAAACTTGGTTGAGCCGTGAACGCCCTCCCCCATGGGATAGCCCTCGGTCCGCCGTCTACTAGGGTATATGTTCACCTCCTGCTGGGCCATTGCTAGAACGACTGGACGGCGATCCGAAGAAGTCGAGACATGCTGGAAGCTCCCGAATAATAGCTGTGGAATCGTTGTTGGCTTCTGACGAGATGGGAATTCAAGGTCGGGATCCACCCCGAGCAGCTGGCAGATCCGGCCGGGTGTGATCTGGGGCGGGCCCCGCAGTACCGGCGGCCAGGGCCGGTGGAATGAGACCCACAGCGTGCTGATGCGTGCTCCGGGCCGCCGTGCTCCGGGCTGCCGTGCACCGTCTTGCTCGTCGAGGCCGGCTAGGGAACTGAAAGTTCCCTGCTGCATCACGGAGGGTTCCGGCGTAGCCCTCGACTTGTTTCGGGCTCCGACACTGGCTGGACACGAGGAAGCGACCGGGCAGGGAGGAGCCTCGGGATGCGACGCAGAAGGCGAAGGAGGAGGCAGCGGATCGACGGGGGCGGCTGGGACGATCAGGCGCATCTCGACGGGCCGAGGAATCAACAGTCCGTGCGGATCGATCACGCAGCCTATCTCCTCCCCCTGCTCGGGGCGCAGCATGGCCGGGACTATATCGTCGATCGGCATGTCGAGCATGGACAACTCGTTCAGCCGGTCATGCGCACTAGTGATATCCCCGGTAATCACGCCGGGCCGCCGCTTCTGGCCCTGTTTCCCGTTTGTGCAGCGCAGGAAGGCGACCCAGTTCACCCAGTGGCAGAATTGTGGCCAGTCCACGACTCGTGCGGCGAGGAAGGCACACTGCTTGGCAAAGGTGGTGCCGTAGCCGATCTGCTGCAACCGCGCGACGGCACTCCACTCAAACCTTTTGTGTTTCTCAGTCTCGCGGGCGCGATCGACCGCAGTCCGGATGGGCAGCCAGACCGATTTGTCGTCCGCGCTATACGTCTCGAACATGGCCGTGCACTCAAAGATGGCGAACCATTCCATGATGGTTGCGTCGAGTGTCTCGGAGAGCTTCACGAACTGATCGGCGTACTCCATGCAGAGGCTGTACTGCTTTGCGGGGTTGCCCTCGAGCTTGGTGAAGCTGGTTCGGAAGGTCGTGAGCAAGCTCAGGATCTTCGCCGGCGCTCGGGGGGAACTGCTAGATGGGAGACGGACAGTACGGTGCTGGGCTCCTCTATGACGAGTGGGTGGGCTACTCTTCTGGTGATGGTTCTCCCCTGGACTCTCTCTGTTGTTCTTTTTGCTCTCTGTCAGCTACTTCGAGTTTGCATCCTGTGTCATTCTCACATCTAGTAAAGGCAAAAAGGTACGCAACTCTTTCCCACCAGATTATGGGGCCTCCGAGATCTCTTCTGGTAATGGGCTTAACCCGGGGGGTGTGGTTGTGTATGAGAGTGTGGTGGGTGGTGTGGGTGTTGGTTGGGAAGTGAGAGAAGAGAGAGAATATTTTCCTCAAAGAGAGAGAGGGAGGGAAAAAAGCCCGACAGGAGAGAGTAATATTCCCCTCCAAATACATTCATACAATACAACATCGAACTTTTGAGTACTCAACATAACGAGAGAGACAAGGACAACTCCACGGACAATATATCTTAATACACCACAACCCGAGTCCGAGGTAGGAGAATCTGTGCAAACAGCTTCTAAAGTAGAAAGTCATTTTGCTTGTGTGTGGTGAGTATATAAGCCGGGCCTTTTCATTTTGTCCCTTTCTTCTGTCGAGAGGGCAATCACCGGGAAAGAGAGAGAGAGAAGGTATTAGCCTAGGACGTATATAAGAGACCACACACACACATACTCCAAACAGGCCAAGGCATTCTCACACTCTCTCATCTCTCTCATCCCATCCCACTGTTATCCTCTCGGACCCCACACGACGCAGAGGAAATACAAAAGCCAAATATCAACAAGAGTTACTCCCCCGTCGATGGGTTTCACTGCGTGCGGGTCACCAACAAAAAGGTCGGGTGCCACTCACGACCGTTTCTTTTTTGGCGTGTGTGGTCATGAAACGGCCAGTCGACCTCGGGCATTGCGAGTTCGAACTCTCCCCTCTGAGGCTTCACTTCAGCGCAACCGCATACTTCACTGAGGCAGCCACTGGAACCGGGCCCAGCCTCGGCCACACAACGATCAGCTTCAGCCAATGGATAGACCTTCGAACCCTCTGGGTGTCCCAAGCACCACAGCTGGAACTCCGTCTCTTTGTGAGCTTTGATCCGATGATCAAGGCCGCCGAACCCGCGTTTGCCACCGAGCTGGTCCGAGAAATCGGCCTTCCAGAGGTAAGCGGCTCCCTCCGTCGGTCACTTTCTTGCTCGCGCTCAATCGTGCTTCCCGGGGGATGAGGCCCTTCCAAGTGATAACCCTGAGGGTATTAGGTCTGGTCCGGCCCAGGTGCTCACAGCATGCCTGGCTTCGGTGAATATACATCTCGAATATACGAGCTGCAATACCACGCCACAGCCAGAGAATTGCCTCGTACAAAAGTCCCTGGAGCTATTGCGTTGCGGCCTCCGGAAACTGTTTCTATCGGGCGCGCCCCCGAGCCATGATCTCAGGCCACTCGGCAATGGGAGGCTGCATAAGCTACCCTCACTCGCGCCGGCAGTCTTTGAGCCGAGGTATTGTGAGGTGCGTTATCAGGGGTAGACTATGATACAACCACGGTACATATGCTGATCGGATATGAAGGGAATGGAGCAAAGGGCTGTATCACTCGCTCCAATTACAACCTCCCTCCTCTCAATGCTCGAGAGTCATGAAACCTTACAGCAGATGCTTGTGATGAGACTGATAAGGCCCACCGACCGGGATGGATACGTAACACCGGAATCCGCATACGGAGACACACCGGCGAGCAAAGCCACAGACCATTTGGGATGCCTGATAAAAGCCACACTGTGGAAGATTGCCCAGCACCAACTCGCGCGCCTCAAGACCCGCAAGACGGCTATGCCATTTTTCAGGTTACCCATTGAGCTACCAGAGCCGTCAATCCATCCGGACGACGACGACGATATGCCCCCATTGCTCCTGTCAGAGGAAGAATTTGATTCTGAAGATTCTGAAGATCGAGGCGATGGCGACGACGCCAACGGGGATGATGACGATGACGGTCTGTGAGGAAGGAGGAGTGTGTTGAAGAGAGTAGGTTTGGATGCGGAGGAAATGAACATCTGCGCCAACTAGGCAGTAAGAATTGATTGTTGGAGACTCAAGGATTTGAATAACCCCTGATCGAAGGAGTACTTTGTACTCACCCCAATACCACTATCTGCAAGACAAAAACAATATTGAGCAATACAGTTCTTTCGCGGTGAACAAGCGTGATTCCTCAACAGAGTAATGTAAGTGGCCTGCCGAGGTCGTAAGTGACTACATATATCATATGACAATGCAGCACCAGGGGTCTAAGTTTATCAGATCCGATGAATTACTAAGCTCTTCTTGCTGGGCTCCTTGCGGCATAGGTGACGCTACTAAGAGGAGCCATTGAATCAATTAGCGGCTAGTCAAGAGGGTTATATTCGCACATTTCCTATTCTGTCGCTTGTTTCTCCTCCAACAACCGCACTCGGTCGCGGATTGCAAACTTCCACTCCTTCGCTACCTTATATACCAGCAGCAATCCTAGTACGAAGAGAGGGCTGAACGAGGCCACAATTGCCGTGACGCTGATCCAGACCGCCGCATCCATCGGCCAAGTGGTGCCAGGGTCCACTCCCACAGAGACGACGACTTGTAATCCGCTCAGAACCATGGAAAACAAACCGATCACAAACAAGATTGGCCCATAGAAACGCACGAAGTAGGTCCTATACTGGTACTCGGCTCTCTGGAAGTCCGACTTGCCGAGGACAATTGGGCCATAGAAATTTAGCCGCATCAAATGAATCTCACCGTTTACATAACGCAAGGAGACATCCCGGTCTGGGATGCCGGCTAGGCTCGACTTGAACTCGCAAAACTGCTCCCAGGTGGTGTCCCGCGGGACAAGGCACAAGCTAGGGTCCTGCGCAATGCGCAAGTCGGACTCGTGCAGTCGGTGAAGGATTCTGCCCAACCCAGCGATCCAATCAAACATTTGAGCTCATGATGTTGCTGAACGTCTAGGGAAGAAGAGAGAGGATACCAGAGGGACGCCTACCATCGGCTGGCCCAGCGAGGCAAACGGCGGCGGCCTGGAACCTGCTATCTGGGTAATAGGGGCAACATGGGCGATCATGGTCTATCACCGTATGGGGGCTAATGCTTGCTACTTCTGTATTCAAGGAGAGCGTAGTGTATCAAGCTGTGCTGGTTCGTTATGAAACTCACTAAAGAGTCTAAAAATAGAACATAGAGGCTAGCAATCCATAAAAAAACCCCCTAACTAACCCCGGCACCGCGGAATTATGTAAGTTATCGAGCGAAGGAACCCTGAAGGTCAGTTTGACTGACTAATCTCGGATTTGGCGGCAGTAAAGGCAAGCAGTACACCATCGCCTAGCTCAGCAACGCGAAAAGAGAAAATAGGAAGATGCAAGTCGTGTGAGACTCAAAAGAAACAGTGGTCCCACTCCGTAACAACGGCCGCGATAGTCCCAAAACGTCTCCTTTCATCAGCCCCTATGGTCTTTCGGAGGTGTCTGGCCTCAAGCGACACCGCTGCCTGGGACCACCGCCTTCACAACGTCAGAAAGGGTCACTGAACTGCTTCCGATTAGGAACGGTCTGATCGACTTCCGACGAGACAGGATCTGATAGGTTCTGCCGTTGTCGCCTGACTGATCGAAGGAGGATTTTTGCGGCGCGGATCTCATCTGGTAGAATAAATCCCCCCTTGATCATAGGGTTGGGATGGTTGAGGCCAGGAGGAAGATCCGCTGAGTTCCGCTGGCATTCTCCGTCTGGCCAGACCGTGATTTTTAGTTGGAAATTCTGAAATAAGAGTGGGCGGCACTTTTCATGGACACGGCCAATGCACAACACGCTTCCAGAGAAACCCCGCGCATCGACTTGATCTTCATCAGTTCTCCACAGAATGCTAGCAGAAGAATCAACGGCATTCTGAATCCATATATGCCCATGGCCCTCGAGGAGAGCCGCCCGGATTTGTTCGTTAGGAATATCCCTGAGCAGGCGGCCGTGTTCATTATTGATATAATCGAAGACACAAGCAATCATCGGTGCTCCCTGGATCGCGTCTTTATATGAAGCCCATTCTGGCACCATCTCAATTCCCTTCGGTGGGTGAATATCAATCAGTTTATCGCCGGTAATAAGGGATAGGTCGTGACGGTAGCCGGAGGGGTATGGATACGTGCTGCTTGGGTCATCATATGTCCGCGTGATAAGTCCGACCTGTTTCGTTAGAAAGACTTCATTCAAGGATGGGTCCGTACTCACCCTACGGTTGGTGCCCGCTAGCCAGCACTGCTTACCGATTGGGCTCGAGGAAAGGGGGCTAGGCGTAGTGCTGACTTCGACCTCCCGATTCTGGAGCCGTAGAGGGATTTGAAACCGTGTGAGAGACTGTGTGACTCGCTTGTAAAAAGACGCAACGCGGGTCAAGAATGTAGGGGGCCCTGGGAGTCTCACAAAGGCGTGGGTAGGGACGGTGATAGCCTCCGTGTGGTCAGGAAGCCGGATCTTGAGGCCCAAAACGCCACAGACCTCGTACGCATTCGACATGCGCGCAAGCTGCTTACCAGACTCCGCTGTTGCCGCCGACGGTTGCATTGCCAGAACGGTATACCCGACTGTCAGCCTGCCAACGGTCGGAGGGGTACCGAAGTTCCATGTATGCAACATGTCATCCCGACGGCTGAAGAGGATAACCACACACTCAACCTGGTAGATAAACGCTCCGATGGACCTCGGAAATGCCGCCCTTAGGCACTTAATGTCTTCTGGCGTAAAAGCCTGCCGGACGTCGACGTCCCGGCGGATAGGATCCGAAATGATATTGCAATACTGCATGTCGTGATCTACTGGAGACTCAAATGCAGGTTGGATATGGATTTCTCGACCGCCAGCTTTCATGAAAGGCACATGGCTATTTTCCGGCATCACCCAAATGTCCTTGCCTGAATCCTTCTGGGTCAGGACGCAGACAGCTCTCTGAGATGAGAAAGCCGGGTGGTAGGTTCGGAAAAGCTGCTCATTTTCCTGGGTGATCTGCGGCTCAATAAGAGCGCGAGCTTCGGCTACAGAACGAGAGCCCCACAAGGTCGAGGTTGTCCCTAGTTACCAAGGTTAGCACCATCGCAAGTTCATAACCAGCCTCAAATAAAACTAATACCCACGATGGACCTGGCGTAACTGTCGACCTCGGTATTGAATAATCTGGGAAACCGGTCGGGGATGCTCTTGAACGCACGAATACGTCGCCATGGTCGGTAACGTAAGGAAAAGGAGGTGGGTGAAGCGATGAGAAAGGGTAGAAGGAATCTCTCCCCTGCACCAACGGGCTATGGACGAAAAGTTCCACAACTGCTGGCACGATATGTTTTCTGGTGCTGAGGAGCGGTGTATTTGTCAGTGAAGGGAAAGCGGCGGGGGGTCATTGGAGCTGGGTAAATCGGGTCAATGAGAAGCTTCCAACCGAAGAATGAAGCAGGAGCAAGTACGTAGATATCACGACGAAAGAGGTCTAGCGCCTGTCGGAACAGCAGCATAGGTGGATCCCCGGAGGCAGGGGATACTATCTTCCGTCAAGATTAGTCATGCATTTGAGCCCATCTACATTGCTAGTTGAGGGGCGGTGTGGGTGGGCAGAAAAGCACAGATATACCCTGCACCAGCATGACCCACTGAGCAGTATTCCGATTCTCAGCTAACCATTCTACAGCCGCCCCGCGCCATATTGTTACATTTTAGCTATTACTCTTCATTTCCTAATTATATATACTCCTACTAGGCTCTAGTTCTAGAAATTGGCAGGGATATTTACAATGCAGTTACATTAGAGTATACGAAATCAGAAATAAAATTAAGCAGGAATTGCGTGTATATATACTCAGTACTGAGAGAAAGATTCAAAATGGTATTCAGGGCACTCAGGGCGGATATTCACCCACCTGAATCTTCAGCCCGTACAGCAAAATTTACATTCTCACTTCTGATCGAAATGCTATAAGTAACCTTTCTTTTCCCCTCCGCGTTCATCTCTCAAGCCTCGCTTTGTCACGAGCAAGATGCGTACCAAGCGTGACTCAATGTTGAATAACCACCCTCATTTTTTTATCTCCCTTGTAAGTTTATAATCTGCAAGATGATTATGATCCGAGTATCCATTGCCTCACACGCGAGAGGCCGGCCGCCAAGGTCTATCTGCTACACAAATCAGCACACCCAAGAACAATTCGGAAGAAAAGGATAAGACAATTGACAACATGAAAACCGCTGGTTTGAACTTGAAATCAATGTTTTTATCGGAGTAGAAGAAGAAGAAGGAGGAGGAGCTGGATGCTGCTAATGTCTCAATGAGAAAAGAACTGAAAGCCGTCAAACCTCGACTTGAAAGATAGGAAGCTTTCTTTTTCTAACACTCGGTGGTTGATTCGGAATTTGGGTATCATTGTTGACTGTATCGGTCGAGACCAGGTGTTACACCTGCCAATTTCATAAAAAGAATACTTGTTGCGTTGAGCAGACCGGCCCAACTCAGTATCATGCGGGGGTCTAGGATGTCTTACCGCTTGTAGCCAATGAGAGCCGATACTTACTTCCGTCTGATTTGCAACCTGCCAATCGGATTACGGCGTGATTCCCTTGGTAGGGGGGACGGAGATAGAATTAGTAGTATAGAGATAGATGAGCCAGAGTTGCCAGATACAATTACGCTATTCCGGGCCTCTCAGAGAAAGCGTAAGAGTAGGGTAGATGATGATTTATAGCTATACTAGGAAATTGTATTGAGTTTACTTTCTCCTGAAAATTTTACTGAAAATTTTGCCGAGTCCTGCTATAATTACAATACGTATTGTTACAGGCGAGGATGTATTACTTGTGCATCCGTGCAGTAGGGGCCTGTTTGTCTTGTTTGCCTTAGATTTGGGCCCGAACAGGGGTCCGAAAGCCCGCGCGGGCCCATGGGCTAGGCCCGTGACCCGATCACGGGCCGGGCCGGGTCGGGTCGGGTCAAAACGGGCTTTGGAGAAGTCTAGGAACAAGATAAGCAGTCCGAGGGGTAGCTTGATGACAGACTTCGAAAAAAAAAGACAATCGAGTGTTCAATATTCATTTCATTCTGAGCGCCGTAATTTCAAAACCAAGTGTCATGATATTTCACGTTAATAACAGATACAAAAAAGTAGTTGACGAGACTGAACCAAGACAAGGAGGAAACTTAGTACTGAAGGAGCGGCAGACATACCCGAAGTAGTTTAGCGCGGTGTGTGTCGCAAGTAAAAGAGTGTGCGTAGACGTTCTCTTCCTCGATCGTCAATCTCTCGCGATAGTTGCAGTAGAAATACGCCAGTCTGATCGTACTATCGTGCCGTATGCGACGATTTGGATTTCGCCAATCACACCGGAAATCATGAGCGTCTTTCCAGTCCCTGGGGCACTGGGACAGAAAAGGGTGCGCCACATTGTTTGATCTTGATCTTGATTGGACCAAGGGACGAATTCGTTCGGCTCGAGGAACCATCGCCCGGTACCGTTGAGCCAGAGCTTTAACTTATCGTCTTGTTTCATTGCGGTATTGGTAGGAGAGATCCACTTCATGAGATCAAGTCGGTCCTTCTGATTGAGATGCTGTACTATCTGCTCGATTCCTTTCTGATTCAAGACTGTTATGTCTTTGGTTTCTTGGATAACTTGGCTAGTCATAAAAAATAAGGTCAAATCTTGGACCCTTTCCCCAACTTGGTATCGAAGTTCTCTCACTGCCGTTTGGTCCTATACAAAACGCTTCCAAAATAGCTTCATTGCGGCGCGAAAATTGTTTGTGTTGATATTAAATTCCCCATAATCGTCCAGTTTCTTCCGGATATCCCTCAGTAAGAGTTAGCATCTTTTGAAATGTCATGCAGAGTATGGTTTTGTTGCTCACTCAAATGATGGTCATAATGCTGATCAGCCAGATTGAAACATATTTGACAATGTTTCGACTCTGTTTCGACTCTGTTTCGACTCTGTTTCGACTCTGTTTTGTCGTCAGCAACTATAATATCGGCTGTACTAGAAAGCTGGATATCTCACTCCTCAAAAATGATCCTGTACTGCAACGGTGCATCTTTGAATTGTTTCCGCAGCTCATTCGCAAGTTTGAGGAAAGTATACATGTCACCCGCACCATACCCAAAATTCTTTCTAGTGGCAGAATGTAAAGGTATACGTTATGCGGGTGTAAGGCCTGTCCACTGGGTAAGATACAATAGGCTTTGTGGGAGGAACACAATGTATTGATGTTGTGAATGTATTGATGTTGTGCCACTTGCCAGTCTCGAGGGGGTCCCGAACTATAAGGAAATATTAAGCAAAGAAGCAAACACATAATGGCAAATAATCTATGGAATTCAAACCGATAAACCATGCAGGCAGTAAGCGAGCAAGCAAACATCAAGCATATAATAGCGATCTATCGTATATTGTGACAAGAGCTAGCAAACCACCTGAAAAAGATGAGATAATTGAATTTGCATGGTGCCAAATGCTTCATGATCATGGGGTCATCGGGCCTGGTTAATCTGTCAAGGACCCTGCGCACTATGCCCCTTTGTAATACATTCTTAGATAGCTTCGTAGGATCGATGATAGCGTAAATACTTGTCCAAACACCGAACGCCTTGCTTCCCCTCCCCCAATTCATAACATTTGGAGGATCATCAGTTCATATCATAACATGATCCCCTGCACCATTCATCACCATTAAACATCGTCACTCACTAGCAACTCCGGTGGGCCGGAAAACTCGATGCAGATACAATCACCGCAATCGCTACCGCCTGTGTTTCTTCGATCAGACCAGATTGATGCAATTCGAAGTTGAAAGACTTACCGTGGCCATATCCATGCCTGGCATAATCACCATATCCATGGCAGGTCGATATCCCGCCTGGCAGAAGGACAACAACGCTAACTTTTTATTATGCCGAATACTCTCTTTGATTTCCATAATCCTACGATTGTCATCCACCACGTCATACATCGTCAGAACCCGGCCATGGCTTTCGAGGTCGATGGGCAAATTGCGTTCCTTCACGTTGCAATCTACCTGTATCAAGTTCTCGAGCTCCAGATGCAGATCTCCGCCGAGACTGTGCCGACCGATGGCGATGGGGGTCGTCCGGCAACCGGGAAGGGATACGGTCCATGTATTGCGTACCCAGCGCGATCGTTGGTGGATTTCGAACAAGGGTAGACCTGACTGATCTCGCACCTCCCGACAATAATGCGGGCTACATCTTCGCCCACTTACGGTGAAGAGAACGGCGCCATTTTCATCTTGGATGGAATAGGCGCATTCGGAGACGGCACTGCCGCCTGGGTATAGGGTGAGATGCGTCTTCTGCTCTGTCATGTATTCAAAACGCAGGCCGATTGGGCGCAGAGGCTCTTTGGCAGGCTTGCGAATATTTTTGTTACGATTTCTCGTGGGGAATGAGGCAACGGATACTTCCGATGTTTCGCTTGCGATTCGCGTGGGCTTCGACATGGTCGTTGTTGTTAAACGGAATCGAGACAATTCAGACCGAGTCCATCCCCGTCAAGCTTTCTGAAATGATATTTGGACACAGATAGAATCGTAGAGGTCGCCCTCCTGTGGGCCTCTGACTGAGTACCTCGACGGACTAAACACTTCCGACCGCCGTGTCAGCAGGAATGTAGCAGGTTGCCGTGGAATGGAGAAACCCGATTTGAACCGTCGCAGTCGAACGGGGCCTAGATTTGTGCAAAAGTGCAGTTTTTCTGTATGGAGGAAGGACTACACTTCATCCGAGTCGTGAGAAGTTCACCTCGGCAAGCTCATGATATCATGATGTTTGGTCCCGACCCCCACTGTACCAGCAGCCTCTCCATCCTATTCAAGATTTTGATCAATCATGTTCAAAACAGAAAATGGTCGAAAGTCAATCAGGTCTCGTATGACATCAGTCAGATCAAGCCCAAGTCTAGCCCCAAGGAAGGGCGGGAATATCCTGGAAGTTTTATTCGTGAGATCATCTAAAGCAGTGGCAGATACAATATAGTATAGTTTATTTTAAGTTCTTTCGCCTGATTGGCTGGGGAACAGGGGGTTCTCCACCAGACCGGCTACTTCGGATCTTCAGATGTGCAGATGTGTGGGGGTCATATTCACCACGGAAGGATTGGCACGGAAGAATCGGCATGGCATGCTCTGCTAGCCTCACTGAATTCGTGATCGACCTTACGAGATTGACAGACTCATTGGGATTTCAAAATCAAAATATTCGGTTGATATTAGGCGCAGCGCAAGCTGAAGCATGGAGAATTAGATACAATTTGGTACGCAATATTAGAAATTTCCTCAGCAAGGCACCTCCCTCAATCCTTAATCTCCGTAATCTCCCATTTCGCGCGCTCTTCCCTCCGATCCTTCACGACCTTTTGTATAATGAGGGCGAGAATTCCAACACCCACGACAAAGACAATGCAAAACACGAGAATAGGCCCGGGTTCTCGCGAGGCCCAATTGCGCCTAACGAGCTCATCGCGGACTTCGATACCCCTCGCGGGGGAAGGATGAATGGCAGCCATCTGGTGATGCAGTTTTTGAGAGCAACGAACTGAGTTGAGCTAGATCCAGCTCCGACAAGTCAGAAATCCAACGGTGTGCCATGGTTGAAAACATGATCATGATCTAGTCTGACTTACATGGAGGGTGGGTGGTCGTAAATATCAGAGATCAGAGGTGTTGAGCAGTCTGTGGGAGAGTGCTCGAAAGAAGGTGTTCAACAAGGAAGATCTAGGGTTGAAGAGATGGCAAAGGAGCAGGCAATAGTTAACAAAAACCCTGGAGCAGACTCTTGCTAGAATTCAATGCGGAAGAAGTTGTCTATAGCTTTTCCGGTTCTCTGACTTCTGTGACGACATGAGAAGGGCTCGGCTTGCGACTTTGTCAATATCAATCCTGATTATTGATACGGAGTACTGAGCTTAGATATCGCCTGATGTTACCCACATCTGAATATACGACGAATAGGGTAAACCGGATGCTTCAAATCTTTCCATTCTCGGCGTCATTATCATCTCTCTGCACCGGCATGAACGGACCGGTCTATGACATCAAGACGAAAGCTTCTTTTCGTTTGGGAAAGCTCGGATTGCCAGGTCAGTCAGGTCCACCTCGAGCCTCTACCTCATATAGTCCAGCCTCTGTCGTTTTAAATCCTACTCAATAATCACTTCGTGAGAGGATCACTGTAGCGAGTGAAAAATAAAATCCCTCTCTCCCCTTCCGTTCCCCTGTCGTCGCTGCTCTCGTGCCCCCACGAGACCTGTTTTGGAGAATGTCGTCTGTATCCAATCCCAACCGCGACGTCGAAAATGACGCTGCGGAGCGCCGATTCTCTGCTATTTCCTATAAGGAGGATGTGAAGATCGATGAATACACGCGCCTGGTGCGATGGATGTCCACCTACCGTGATACGAAATGGGACCAGGCAGATGAAGGCGAAATTCGCGAGAGTCGCGTGTGGTTTGCGCCATGGCGGAAGAGAAAGTTCCGTTGGAAGTATATCGGCGTCGGACAGGAGTTCCCCGATGACTGGAAGTTCACCGACATCAATCACGGTCTGTCGGACTCGGAAGTCGAGGAGAGGCGAAAGGTGACCGGATTCAATGAATTGACGGCGGAGAAAGTCGATCAATTCCGCAAAATCTTGGGATACTTCCAAGGTCCAATTCTATATGGTGAGAGACTATCGCGTCCCCGCCGATTGAACGCAGACAGTGACACACTAACCGGACCTCGACAGTCATGGAGATTGCAGTTTTGCTCGCTGCCGGTTTGGCCGAATGGATTGACTTTGGTGTCATCATTGGCATTCTCTGTCTGAACGCTGCAGTCGGATGGTACCAAGAGAAGCAGGCCGAGGACGTGGTGGCCAGCCTGAAGGCCGATATTGCAATGCGCAGCACGGTTGTTCGCAATGGAACGGAAATCGATATCTTGGCCCGCGACCTGGTCCCTGGCGACGTGGTAAGATGAGTTCCCTATCCTCTTGACTATTTACCTCTATTAACACATCTTGTCATATTCAGATTGTCATTGAAGAGGCGAACTCGGTCCCCGCCGATGCCAAAGTGGTCTGCGACTACCAAGAGAAAGAGACAGGCTGGCAGAATTATCAGCAAATGCGGCAAGAAGGCAAGCTGGACAAGAAGAAGAAGAAAGCAACTGAGGATGATGAATCGTCGGAAGAGGATGAACACAAGGACTTCCCCGTTCTGGCCTGCGATCACTCCGCAATTACTGGAGAGTCTCTCGCTGTGGACCGCTATGCCGGTGACGACGTGTTTTACACGACTGGATGCAAACGAGGCAAGGCCTATGCCATTGTTCAATCGACTGGAATCAAGACCTTTGTGGGTCGCACAGCGGCGATGGTTCAACAAGGTGGCTCCGGGACAGGACATTTCCAGATGGTCATGGACGGGATTGGTACGGCTCTTCTGGTGCTTGTGATGGCATGGATCTTGATCATGTGGATCGGAGGCTTCTTCCGCAACCTGCCCATTGCCTCTCCCGGTCAACAGACCCTCCTACACTTTACCCTTTCTCTGTTCATCATTGGTGTGCCCGTCGGGCTGCCTGTTGTCACGACCACCACTCTAGCCGTCGGTGCGGCTTATTTGGCCAAGAAGAAAGCGATCGTCCAGAAGCTTACGGCAATCGAGTCTTTGGCTGTAAGTATTCCATCCCGAGTTTCTCTCACGACCGATTTTCAAGCCGATCACTGACGCCGACTAGGGCGTGGACATCCTCTGTTCTGATAAAACAGGAACATTGACCGCCAATAAGCTCAGTATCCAGGAGCCATACGTCGCCGAGGGCGTTGATGTGAACTGGTTATTTGCGGTTGCCATTCTAGCTTCTTCTCACAATGTCCGTTCTTTGGATCCGATCGATAAGGTTACAATCTTGTCTGCAAACAAATATCCGAAAGCGAAGGAAATCTTGCGCCAACCGTGGAAAACCCTAAGCTTCACCCCATTTGATCCAGTGTCGAAGCGGATTGTGTCGGTTGTGACCCTAAATGGCGAGCGGTATACCTGCACCAAGGGAGCGCCAAAGGCAGTGCTTCAGTTGACAAACTGTGATGAATCGGTAGCCACGTTATATCGACAGCAGGCGACGGATTTTGCTCGCCGTGGCTTTCGATCACTTGGTGTCGCCGTCCAGAAGGGTAACGAACCATGGACCTTATTGGGAATGCTACCGATGTTCGATCCGCCCCGGGATGATACCGCTCAGACGATTTTAGAGGCCCAAAATCTTGGAATCGCAGTTAAGATGCTGACTGGCGACGCGATTGCTATCGCCAAGGAGACTTGCAAAATGCTTGCGTTAGGAACGAAAGTCTACAACTCCGAAAGACTCATCGGTGGTGGTCTTAGCGGTGCGATGGCAAGTGAATTATGTGAGAAGGCGGACGGATTCGCCGAGGTTTTCCCAGAGCACAAATACCAGGTAGTCGAGATGCTACAAGATATTGGTCATCTTACAGCTATGACGGGTGACGGTGTCAACGATGCCCCATCGCTGAAGAAAGCCGACTGTGGTATTGCGGTGGAAGGCGCATCGGAAGCAGCTCAGTCTGCCGCGGACATTGTTTTCCTCGAGCCAGGGCTATCTACTATCATTGATTCTATCAAGGTTCGATCCACTCAACTCATCAATTTCTGCACATTGATCACTAACTTGCTGCTAGTTGGCGCGTCAAATTTTTCAACGTATGAAATCGTATATTCAGTATCGCATTGCACTCTGCATTCACCTCGAAGTCTATCTGGTCACTAGCATGATCATTATCAAGGAAAGCATCCGCACTGATTTAGTCGTGTTCCTCGCACTATTTGCCGACCTTGCGACGGTCGCGGTGGCTTACGACAACGCATCCTTCGAGCGCCGACCTGTCCAATGGCAATTGCCGAAGATCTGGGTCATCTCTGTCATCCTCGGTGTCCTCTTAGCACTCGGGACGTGGGTGATCCGCGCAACGATGTTCCTGCCGAACGGTGGATTCTTCCAGAATTGGGGCTCAATCCAAGAGATTTTGTTCTTGGAGGTCGCATTGACGGAAAACTGGCTCATCTTTGTGACGCGTGGAGGCAACACTTGGCCCTCCCTGCCTCTGATCATTGCTATCCTCGGTGTGGATGCACTCGCAACTTGCTTCTGTTTGTTTGGGTGGTTCTCGAACCAGGATATGATAACCGATCCCTTTGATCAATATATCAATAAGGAGACCAGCAATGGTTTCACAAACGTTGTCGATGTCGTCCGCTGTTGGGGGTACAGCATTGGTGTGACTGTGGTGCTCGCCCTCGTCTACTTCATCTTGAACAAGTGGAAATGGCTCGAAGACTTGGGTCGCACCAAGAAGAGCAAAGGCGATATTGCCATTGGAACTATCCTCAGTCACCTGTCCACTATGAGCCTCCAATACGAAAAGGACGCGGCGAATCATGGGCGAATTTGGCTCGGCACTACCAAGGAGGATGAGATGGAATAAGCCTCAACTTCTTTAGAAAGACATCATTTTGTGGTTCTTGTTGGTGGCAGCGCGGTTGATTGGGGAGAGTGTGGTCATATGGATTCATGGGCATTTGTCTTACGATGACCATCGACCGTGCAATTTTCTATTAATCAGAAGTGGTTTCCACCACTTCCCTAATTCACTAATAATCTCTCTTGACATTTTGGCAATACAACGGCTGACTCGTGTCACCATTTACATTCCTTTCCGTTTTGCCTTACCCTGATGCTTATAAGTTAGATGCAACTGTTTGCCATTCTCTGTACTAGTTATATTTTGCTGCACTTCACTCGCTGCCTCATCGTTTATATAGACCATTTTGTCTTGCGACAGCTGTGATGCAATTGGAAAAAAATTACGGGGTCACCTTTGCTCAGCTGTATGCGTGAAACCCTGCCATCGGCGATGACCGTCAATCTCTTTTGCAAGGTTATGCGATTTGTATTGCCTCCACTACGACTATCACAACCACCGCTGCGCCGACACAGGCGGGAATGACCCCTTCTTGTACATAACAATACACGGTCAAGTCCGGCGATGGGTGTGCTGCGATTGAAAGTACACAGACTGTCACTTTTGCCCAGCTTTGTGCTTGGAGCGACGCCATCGGTGACGATTTCCAGTATCTTTCACTTGGTTACGCCGTCTGTGCCGCCATCAAGTTCACTTCCCCAACCACGACATCGACTGCGGCACCGACAGGAACTACGACCAGCGTATCTTGTAGTGAACAATACACTGTTCTTCAAAGTGACTCATCTGCTGTGATTGAATCCAAATAGTAAGATACTGTTGGTCCAAATATAGCATCAGTTTTGCCGGATTCAACAAGCGGTTCTAAATGATGCATTCTGACGTTCTCATTGTTGCCCTATGCAGTTTGCGCCAAGACACGAGTTGAGAGACTAGTGTAGGAAGTGCGACTTTATAAGTTCGAGTTGCGATGCGTAACTATTTAGTGAAGCCTTAATAACTACCAACATTACTAAGCATCACGTTTTGTTTAGCTATGTAATCGTGGATCACGCGGGATAAGATGACGACAACGATTCGACTTTCCTTATTTGCTGTTGCACTCTATGCATCATGCAAGTTCAGCAGCGCGTTCTTCGCATAGTAGCAGACCCGAATCACTTTTTCTCTAACCAGAGCCCGAGTTCCTTTGACCAGCTAAACCTTGGTTGATAACTCCCAAACATGTCTTGGTATCTCAACGCCTGGATTATTGAGAGGACTGATCAGTCTACCAGCAGCCCGTTTTCCCACAGAGATGTGGAAGACACACGAACTCATTCATCTCTCCCACCAAACGCACACTCACAATTGAAGGTCTTGGTCGCCTTTTCCACAATAAAGCGCTTAGATACTATTTCGAGAATAAGGTAAGAGAACGCCCTGCTACTCAAGCCTGCCACAAAACCGCATCAGCAACAGAGTCATTTTCTACATTCTTAAACTCGGCATCATCATTGTCATGGTTCCTAGTAGAAATGCAGCCAAAGCGGACAATTGCCCGTGAAGGCTCGAGCATGCGGCCTTTGGTTGCCTATGAAAGTGTATTTATTGGCTCCTCTATAACACAAACTACCTGCAAAGTCCTTCTCTGGCCGAAATCCTACACCTAAAGTTGGCTGTACAGCATAGCTGTCTCATGCATAAGACCATGATTAGCCAGCCTGCCCCAGGTCAGCACACCACTCTTTTGCTGAATTTCCTCGATTCCAAACTAACGATCTGAATTACGGGGTTAAATCTTTGCATTCTTCGAGATGACTACGACGACTCGCTCAGCCTGTGACAAATATGCGAGTGAGCATCTCGGTGGCTATGTGATGCATTCTGAGGAGATCACTGTCGCCCCATGCAGTTTGTAGACCTCTCCGTGCGGCATTCCTTTCCCTTTCTCTTTCTTCCTCTGGAAGATAACTTGCCGGCAAACGCGCAGCTTGCCGCGTCGGCGTTCTCTTTGTATGTCTGCAGAGATGCTTCTCTCATGTTCTGGTGGATGGAATCTGGCTTGCTTTGTGGTGGGAAGCTATATAGACAGGCTTCAGTACAGTAGCTAGTTTCAGATCTTCCATCAACATCATCTTTTGCCATCTGGTTGATCACTTCTTCCCTCGTAGTCAAAACCTCTCACCACCATGTCGTTCCAGTCGACGTGCAAGCTACACCGTGGATTACGAGCCGAGAAACAACGCGTGTCTTTTAGTCCAGCAAAGCGATGCTTGGTCAATACATCACCGAGCTTGACGAGGCGGTCCCAAATGCGGAGGGCATCGAAAATCCCATATTGAAGCTTACTACCATACAAATCTCTAAAATCTCTAGTTTGTAGGCGTTGAAGCTCTCGCAATTTCAAAACATTCTCATCGATTCAACTGCATCCTAACCGCATATATCATCATATATCCTCATCGTCATCTGTCATTATCGATTCCAATACCCCTGACCGTCTATCGCCCACGAATAATCTCGACCTTCACAAACGTGAGATGCTTCATCTTCTCTCCACCCAGACAACGCATCATTCGTAAAGCATTAATGTCTTGGGCTTGAAAAAAATTGAAGAATTCAAGATCAACCATCACGGATTCGAGACTCGAAATTCCTGCCAAAATTTCAAGTATACTGTTCCTCCTTTACTGAGATCTGTCTGGGTAAGCATCGTACAGCCCGTCAGCAACGCGAATGTTGCTGAAAGATACTTCACCCTCCCCATTCTGGAAGAACCGAATCCCAGTCGAGTTCTGATACCAAGGCCTTCCGTCGAGTTAGTTTACGTTCTGTGGAAATGTGAAACCAAGGGGATAAGGGAAACATACCGGACCCAGGTAGACAGCACAAAGCGAGAGTTGGCATATACCTCCAGGACAGAGTTGTCGACCAAAATGGTCAGGCTGAGAGTCTCGATGCGATCCTCGCAGACCCCATTCGATGAGGAGTTGTGGGCATGACTTTCCGATGAAATTTCGGACTTGCATTTAGTCGAATAAGGTTCACCATGCTTACCCTTGTGACCACACCCGTGGCCGCCATGGCCACAATGGCCGCAATCGGCGCCACAGCAGTCATTGATGTCAAATAGACGAAGACGCCCCGACTCCGGTGACTTGTCGATGCCGGTGGTTGTGTTTGCAGCAGCACTCGTTTCAGAACGATCAATCATGATGGACTCGTTGGAGAACTGATAATAAACGGTGGTTGACTCCAAATCGGATGCCAGGATCTGGAAACCGGCTTGCAGGTCGGACGAACGTGCAAGGAAGTCGATCTCAGCCTCAAGAATAAAGAACTTTGTTTCCGGGGAGCGACCGAACGGGATTATACCCGAACTTGTAAGAGTTTGGTCTGGCTCAGTGAAGCTAGGGGCAGCCTTCATAGCGTTGTACGGCTCCCGCGCGATGTCGATTCCGAGTGTTTCCAGTTTGACGCATTTGCCCGTGGAGGGTGAGGAAGCGGCCAAACGCCACGAGCCAATCTCATTCACAAGACGGTTGTTGACCACGTTCGGGATGGCTTTGATGTACAACTCGCGCGACGTCAACAATGTGTTTTGCCATCCTTGTTGCTCCGATGGGAAGCCCACAACTCCTCCGAAAACATCCCCAGTCAACCATACATAGCTTATAAAACGATCCGGGGCACCGCTAGCGGTAGACGCTTGGGAGGACGCGGGTAGGACTTTGCCTGCTGCTGCATAGGCCGCCAAGCCCCAGTCAAGGACACCCACCATATCAGGGACGAATGTCACGTTTTCACCCTCGGGAATTGAGATTGACCCTGCTGCCCAAAGCTGTGCATGTAGCGAGGAGATTGAGGGCTGAATGGGCACGTATGAGCTCTCTACTGCAATGGTCATGAAAGGACTGCCGTTGTGGCTGTATCCTTCTCTGTCGAGGCCGAAGACGTTGCTAGTCTCAAAATTGTAGCCGAATACTTTTGACCAGTCACCATTGCCCCATGTTGAGTTGGCCGGTTCATGGTACCATTCTCCAAGATACTCCCACTGCTCAAAGTCGGGGCTAGTGTTCTGGTAGAGGAACAGGCCAGGTCCAATCTCCTTGACCCCGCCTGAAACGATTGTGTACCAAGTACCATCTGTGTTGCCAAGGATTTCGTCGAGTGGTCCATTTTGAAAAACAAAAGGGTCGCGGAAAGCCGTTACATCCAGGCCCTCTGGGGGTTCTGGGATAACAGGTGGAATTTCTAGCTTGGAGAAGTTTTGTCCACCGTCGTAGGTGACCGCCAGAGACTGCGATTCGCTTCCTCGGATATAAGGAAGCGTCCAATGGATTGGCAATGCCGAGACCGAGGTGTATAAAAGTGTCGGTTCGCCGTCAACTCCAGATGGGATGACCGAACCATCGAAAACGGCAAGGGGGTCATTGGGACCGCCAGCTACGATTGAATAGCCACCATTAGGGTTGACATCGTAGAAATGGACTAAATCATCCGTCAGAACACCGGCGATCCCGGTACCATTGTGGAGAAACCCGACGTGGAAGAGCCCTGTTTCAGGATCATTATAGTGCGCGCATGGGTCGCCGATCTGGCCGTTGGGTGGCAGCACATGGGTATGCGGCCTCCAAGTCTCAAACAAAGACAGCGGGGGTAGATCCGCGAGATTCGGAGGTGGAGCATTGTAGTCTTGAGCAGTGGCTCCCGCCGAGATCGAGATCAAAACTGCTGCTACCTTGATGATATTCATGACGAGGAAAGTTAGATGAGAAAATACCTGCGAGGAATGAAGAACTCGTTGTACATGAATCGAACTGATATTTATATTCTACAAGAGGGCGATTTTGTCTCATCAATTATGCAATTTAATCACAAGAGAAATAGCGCACATTCTAATTTCAACGACAGTGAGGGGGTAGCCATACATCCCCATACTGGGGTGATCCTAGAATGTAAACGAACTCCCCGACAAATTTCATTTTTTGGGGGTAGCCATACATGTGCATACTGAGGGATCCTAGAATGCAAACGAACTCTCCAATGCTTTCATTCTTCGGGGGGTTTAAATGAGTGGCTTGTGTAATCTCGCCGAGACAACAACAATACTTAGATGTAACGACCTATATAAGCAAAGCGAAAGGAATGCGAGCATACCTTGCTTGATGTATCATATTCCTCCTAGAGCGACACGAAGGTAGTATTGTCACATTCCTCCTAAGATGGCAATTCTAAATTATACTGTTGATATGAGGCTTACATTCAATCATGTACGTGCCCCGGATCAGCCAGACTATATCGTATATTAATGCGAAGCGTCAACTTGGAGTATTTGCAGAAAATCTCCCTAGGCTCAAGAAGAAATCTCAATCTACCATCATGATCCCACTCCCCTTGGCCTACATTCTGAGTCCAAATGCAAATACTCTCCGGTAAAGTCACTAGTAGACTCACTACAACCCGCCGCTGTTGATAAATATGGAGATATTGTCCGAGATCACAGTTCTATAGCTCCAACTTGTGTTGATTATGGTCTGACAGGAAAACACATGTGACAACACCAACATAGCTCTGTTTCTCTGGTTCTCTTCTGTCCATCGATCATCCAGGAAAATATGCGTATTGTTTCTTCCTTTCATTCCGTAATTTCAATATTAGAGATCCTGCACCTTCCTTTCTAGTTCTTACCCATTGCCATATGCCAATACTCTCGGCGCGCATTCTTAATTCGACTGGGTATGAAAAAGGCTGGTGGGCGAAGTTAGGCAGACTATACTAACACCTTGGTGGTTCTTCATGCCAGGGAACCGAAAGAAGCAGAGATATGCATTAGGGAAAGAAATTTCTAGATCCACTAGTCGTAGAACATGCACAACGAGATATCATGATATTCGAAAGCTCATTCCTTATGCGTTTTCAAATCCTCGTTCGAAAATGGAATCAGCTGAGGTGTGAGATCTGGGGCCCTATGGAACTTTTTGTCAAAGGGCCACATTGGACGGGGGATGCGACGATGCCCAAGACGCTGTAGATCTTGATCAACACCACCAGGAGTCAAACCAAGCATCCAGTCTGCCGCCATATTAAACAGCTCTGGTTCTAGATAGCCAATCTTGACTATGACGATATCTGATGTTCGAGGATTAAGGTCAAGACCGTTAAAGTCACTCTCATGGTGATATGGCTTGCGGAATTTGGTCAGGATAGTAAACACACTTCCAACCTGTAGCACTGCTTCGACTTCGGCATCACGATCTCCATACCTGATGGAATGAACACGTCCAGTCATGGTGACAGGCCCAGAGTGGAGATTGTCCACCTGTGCCCCGGCGGTTACCGTCACCGTGGCACCCACGCCAGCCTTGGTTATAACGTCAATTGCTTGGGGTCCTGGAATACTAGCATAGATCACAGATGAGCTTGATTCTTTAGAAAACTCTGATCGCTTGAGCAGTTGATCCAAGCCGAAGGTCACGTCGCCTGATCCACCAGCGGTAGGATTATCTCCTGAATCAGAGATGAAGAAAGGCCTCTTCGAGGATGCGAGCGCGTTGTCAATGCACTCGGAGAAAGACCCGGTCGGCGCAACGAAACGGAAGTCTTTATGGACTTGCCAGAACAAAGACGCAAGTCTCTTCGCTCCCCTAGCAACAGCAACCTTATTCCATCCAGTGACCATTACTACAGCGTGATTTCGTGGCTCATCTGCCCACGCATAGCCAACCCATATGGCTGCATCGAGGACATCATCCATCGCTTCGATCTCGGGAATGAGCGAATACAGGCTTTTAGCTGGTTCGTTGCGAGTCGAAGTCTGCTCTCCTGGCAGCAAGATAGGAATTGGGACCCATGCTTTCAGGGGTCTATTCCTTCTCCCAGTGTCGGTTTGCGCAGTCAAAACATGGACCAGATTGCGACAAGCCCGCTCTTTGCTCTCCAATTCATCCTCATGAGGTGCCATACGATAACAAGTGATCAGATCAGTCTGGTGGGCCAGCTCTCGGGACACATTCCCATGCAAATCCATAGATGCCGAGACCAAAACATCTGGACCAATAACAGTCCGAATCCGCCGAAGAAGCTCTCCTTCCACATCTTCTATATCCTCAACACACATTGCGCCATGAATATCGTACCATAATCCGTCAATGGGGTTTGAAGCGACAATTCCAGCCAACCGCTCCAGTATTTCCCTGGAAAGTTGTTCGAAATCAGCTCGAACCACGATTCCACCTGGAAGGGCATGGCCTATGAGTGCCCCCTTCCAATCTGCGGCGTCTGCTAGATGAGTGCCATGATGCAGAAATGCGTATTCCTCGATCACCTCCGGGCCACGGCGCGGGTGAAACGCCCCACCGAGTGTTCGAGCGGGGGAAAAGCTAGAGGTCTCACAAGCAAGGCCTGCGATTGCGATAACTGGTCGTTGAGACATGATTCGCGGAGGGTGAAGAAATTGTGCCAATTGTACGAAGTGTAAGAAACGTAAGGATGGGAAGATGAAGTAATGTTACAGGATCCAAGACAATCGCGTCAGACTGCTTTTCCCCGCTCTGGTGACAAGACCATGAGGTGAGGAAAGAGCGACATTGCTGCGCCTGTCTGATATTCATATCTAAAGAGACAAGGGATCAAAATTCAAAATATAAAAGACCTAGCCACTGAGTAAATAGTACAAAGGTAGTGGGCACGGTTGTAACATCTCCAATCAGGTGACGCGCGGGCAGTCGCACAAAAGCGCGTCTTCCCACTTGTTTCCGTCCTCTCCATACCAACCAATCTAAGTCATGAGTCAAGCTAATATTACACAAAGACCAATCCTAGAGATTGCGTGCTTCAATCAAGAATCGGCCGCAGTTGCTGCGAGAGCAGGAGCGGACCGCATCGAGTGAGTATCTTATTCATGTTCGAGCTCCCGGCAACATGCATCCTGAATTCGTTTTCCTTGTTGCTAGATATCCCTACGTTCTATCACTAATTGCAGCCAAGGTTATGCAAGGACTACCACCTCGGTGGGCTATCGCCCGACACAGACACCCTCGAACTTTTGAAATCACAGCTCGCGATACCGATCTACACGATGGTAAGACCACACGCGGAAGGCTTCTGTTACGACGAATTTGACTTTGAGGTGATGAAACGAACGCTCAATTCTCTGAAGTCCTACGGGGCTGACGGTTTCGTCTTCGGTATTCTGAATCGATCCCCACAAAAGCCCTTTGATCCGAAAATGTCGTGGATCGATGTATCCCGTAACAGGCAGCTTGTCGAACTAGCGGACGGGCGGCCCTGTACCTTTCATCGCGCCTTTGATCTCATTCCCGAATCCCACTGGGAGAGTGCATTGGCCGACATCATGGAATGTGGGTTCGCTTCGATTTTAACCAACGGCGGTGCTTCGGGGACAAAAGCAACCGACTGTGTCGATAAGCTGCAAGCTCTGGTCCGTTATCAAACGCAACCACAGGGGAAAATAAAACTTCGAAGCAATATAGTTCCAGAAATCATTGTTGGCGGTGGTGTGAGGGCATCGAATATAGGCTTGCTCCACAGCGTCACTGGTGCCTCGGTCTTCCACTCCGCTGCTCTTCTGGGATCGGAAGAGGTAACCTGCGCAAATGAGGTGTTTAAGATGAAAGATAAGATATCACGGGTATCGGAGGCAGATGAAATGGCGCAATAATACTTCCACGTATTTTGTCTGCTTTATATACCGAACATAAACCCGAGCACCATTTGGTCAGAAGTGTATGCCATTTTCCCAAACGTCTTGCAGCATTTTTGGCCTTTGATTTGTATAATTAACATGATGAGGAGAAAAGGAATGCAGAGGCAGCGGTAGAAATCCAAGCATCGAGGGCAAGTTGGTTACAACATCCATCTTATTTGTCTTCAGATTTTCGATCTCGGATATGCTGTTTACCATTGTAATCGGTTATCCGGCTGTTCCAATGCCTCCTTTTCAGGTCCTGGGTGAAATTTGGCTGGGGTTATTGCCTCAAGCAACTTGTTTCCGAATAGTCCAAAAGCCGAAGCAATCCCACCAAATCGGAAGATCTCGCTTTCCATTTGACTCAGCTTGAATCCGAACGTCTTGTCGGCGACTTTGATGATTCGTGAACTCAAATCGATGGAGATTGACACTCCATCATTCACAAGCTGAAAGAAGGATTCATCTTCCATTGTGATACCCAGGAGCCCGAGACTTGGCATATTGCGTTGAAAGATGAACGAAAACGACTTGGCTATGACACATTGAACACCGCACCCTAGAAGAAACCCGTGGTCAGAAAACAGACATTCGTTTCAATGGCATCGAACCTAACTTACCTAACAGTGCCATCACTGCTTGTTCGCGGGATGATCCGCAACCAAAGCCCTTACCACCAACAACAATGTTGAAACCCTGCTGGGCTCGTTCGCGGAATGTTGGATATCTATACACCAGGCAGCACATGCCAGCGTCCATGTTACTTTTTATGCCAATCAGAAACTCAGCAGGAGCCAACTTTAAAACCATCAGCTCTGGCATTTGACGAATCTAATGAAAGAATAAACACTCACTGCATCCGTGTCGATGAAGTCTCCCAGTTTCTGCACTTTGCCTTGAAGACTTTTGACTTGTCTTTCTCCGTCTTTATCTAGCCGCATGTTCTCTATGTGCTTCTGTGTCTGGGTCGTGGCACTAGGATAACCACGAGAACCACATGGCTCAACATATGCCAGGTCGCTCTTCGAGTTGGTTGTATTCAAGTGTATACGTGTTGTTCTGAGCCGCTCCCATTGACTTAAATCGATCGACGCAATCAGATCACTAGGGTCAACTAGCTTCATTTCAAAGGAGGATGCTGCGACAGTGGCTGCAGAGGCGAGATGACCAATTGAACCTAAATCGGATGATCTCAATTGACCGTGCCATGTTATTGAAGAGTGTTCATTACCTTTACCCATCCGGTTTTCGAAGTTGCGATTCTGCGAGGAAATCCATACCTCTCCTGGCGCGGCCTGGTCGGCTGACATCCCGACACAATAGCTGCATCCAGGGATGCCAACCTCAAATCCTGCGTCTGCGTATATATCACATAACCCCAGTTCACGTAAGCGATACAATATTGGCATTGAACCGGGAACGACCTTCCTCTTCCCCTTTGCGGTAGGCTTTAATCCCCTTTTCATTGCTTGTTCGATTACCAGAGCACCGAGGATGAGATCTTCCTCCGTGGTAGTGCAGGCACCGATAAAACATCCATTCAGCTCCATTCCCTCTTCTTCCGTAACTGGAACCACGTCATCCGGCTTTGGATAACGTGCGATGAAAGACTCCACTTTTGAAAGGTCAATCTCATGAACTGCGGCGTACTCCGCATCGGTATCGGGCCTGAAATATGCCGTGTGGCATTTATGACGCGTAAGTTTTCGTCTACTAATGAAATCGTGGGCAATTTCATCCGGCACAAATAAACCAGTGATCCCGCCAAGTTCCTGTCATTCATGTTAGTGAATTTGACCCAACTGATTTATGGTTTGTGACATAACTGTGGTCATGTTTGAAACTGCGAAGCGGGTGTCAAGGGACAAATGCCTGAGTGCTGGACCTGTGAACTCCACAATTCTGTCGGATGCTGTAGTATTCCGTTTGAGCACTTGGAGGATGTATAAAATGATATCTTTGCCCCCAATCCCTGGCTTCGGTTCTCCAACCAGGCGTATATTGATGGTTTCAGGGACTTTGAACCATGTTTCCCCAGTTACTAATGGAAAGGTGACATCCGCAGCGCCGAGTCCAACCGCGAGACAGCCTACTGCCCCGGAGGAACATGTGTGTGAGTCTGAGCCAACGACCAGCATTCCGGGTTGCGCGCGCTCTCGGTAGAATTCAGTGTGGAGAATAGTGTACTTCATAGGCGTGATTCAGCGATTGGAAACCCCCCGACGAAAAGAGAACTGACATTGATGCCTTGGTATTCCGTCATTTTGAAGGTTTTCTTCGCTCTCTCGCTTACACCGATCAGCGCCTGCACTTGAGGTAATTCATTAATCCGGGGATCAACAATATGGTCCCCAGAAAGCCAGAAGCGATCGTTTCGGAATACCCCGGGTTTTCCTAGCAGATTATAGGTCGTTTCCATTCCCTTGAGATTCACAATCAGCCCGCAGCTCACAGTGGCTCTAGAAGCGAACCTACTGCCCAAGACACCTCAGAGGCAAGTATCCAATCAACGTGGACACGAATTATATCTCCTGGAGCCACCCATCCGATGTGATTTAAATCATGCATCGCAAATATTTTCTCACTCACAGTCATCCCTCGGCGACCTTCGGGCCTGTGTGTTAGAAGGCAAGGCATTGATTTTTCTCGGTCGGCTGAATTCAGGGATTCGAGCCACGCATCCACAAGAAAGAATATTTCCGATTGTTGTTGTATTGTCAGAGAATCAGGCTGGTTTATTCCTAGGCCCCCAAGCATGGCTGGCTGGTAGCAGATGCCAAGGACATCGGTCAGGACATCGACCTCCCGTTGCTTCGTATGATCGGTGCGGAGAATCGTTGAGATATACTCCAGGTTTTGCAACGCATTGTGTGTGGAATGGGATGTCTCTAAAAGCCCCATTGTCCTACTCAGAACAGGCGGCTCAGAGGGGATCAAGCATACTGACCATTTACATGTATATGTATTCCGCGAGTCTGTTCTAAAATATGAACCAATTGATTGAGACTTGATTGGTTGCTTTCAGGCATCGTTCATGATAGATACTTTCCAAGGTTTGGTCTGGTGGTCTTGAAGGGGCTAACCGGTCTTAATATTCATCTAGCAAGGTTATACAGAGGTTGTACAGTAGAACAATATAGTGATGCACGGATTACTCGGTCTTACACCGCTCGAAAGCGGGTACTGCAACACCGAAGGGATTTGACTTGCAGATGCCACCGAGTAGAACATACGGGCGCATGCATGCCAATCTCCAATGCTACCTTTATGGCAGGGTCCAAGATTTGCCGCGTAATCCTCTACGGGAGCATAGCACAACTCGTCTCGTGATCTAACCAATATAGACCGCGGGGTCCTCAACAGAAGGTGCCTATTGAACCAGTTGAGTAGTCAAGTCTGACATTCATAAATAGGGTAACGGGCAAGGTGAGGTATTTAATTTGGACTCGACCTATCATTATACGAGTCCGAAAGTATCCCCAATCCTCCCAATCTATACGAAGTACTCTCCGTACATACAGCACAAAGATATCCTTGTATGTACATATTTACATCATGCATCGTGCCGTTGACCAATGATACATGAGTACACACTAGTACCCGTTGACGGAAGTACATGATTCATATAACCAGCCAATAGCAGATCCCGCGGGGAGCTGATGGTTCTTCCGTGTGGGGAACCATAACGCCAAGGTTTCAAGTCCCATGGTTGACGAAGTTAGGCAAGCCACGAGAGATAATTTGCCGTATCCGCGGCCAATCAGCAATCTCCTTGTGGGCTCCACGGGTTTTTAATATGATCCTGAACCCGTGGACCTCTTCAGGGTTCCAACACTTTATTATTCTCTTCTCTCTCTTTATTCTACGTCCACATACAACTGTTGTATATTGTCCTCCTCACGCCTTTTGCTTATCAAAACAGAACATTATAGAGAGAGAGAAGCAATATGGAGGCCATCGCTGTGGATCCAGACTTGTACGCCCCTGAGAGTTCTTATAGCCCCGATGACTGGCAGTCGTGAGTTTGCATGTGATTATCCATCTTGTACTTCAGATTTTCCTCACGCGTCATTAGGGAAACTACCTCGATTGGGTCGTCAATCTATCGTGGTTTGATGGATAATGGGAGACGGTAAGAGCTTCACAGATTGGATCACATGATGATCTCACATAACCTCACACTCCTATAGATATCAATCGCTCTCCAACAAAGAATACTGGTAGGTAGTTGGAATTACTCACAATAAGAATAAACTCATCTCAAATGTAGTATTCCATCCGATGAGCAACAGTTTGAGACCTACGAGGCAGGGTACGTATTGCAATCCCAGTCCAGAGCCGGCCTCTAACTATCGCGGCAGACACCTCGTGGATCTCATTATGGACTCAGATCGAGCCAATCCACTGTTTCGGTCACCCATCGGGACCGACCGAGAACGCCCGCTACAGGTTCTCGATATTGGAACCGGAAAGGGAACTTGGGCCATGTACGTCTGTAGACCGTTCCGACCTCGGTGAAAATGTTTAGGGCTTATCATTCCTAGCGATGTCGCTGATATGTTCCCAAATGCCACTGTCCGAGGGGTCGACCTTTTCCCACCTCCGGTTACCTGGATGCCACCCAATTGCGTCATCGAGGTCGACGATGTGCTGCAAGAGTGGACATGGCGCGAACAATTTGATCTGATCCATATGCGCAATATGATCGGATCGTTTGACTCTGCTGAGTGGGACATTGTTTACCAGCACTGCTTTGAGTAGGTTATCAATACAACAAAGTGTCCGGCCCAATCTGACTGCATAACAGCAAAATGGCCCCTGGCGGGTGGATCGAGCAGATCGAGGCCGGCCCTTTTATCACAAGTGACGATGGGAGTCTCCCAGCCGACAGTGCCTTGTCCTCGTGGGGTCCAATTATACAAAAGTGCGGTGATCGCGCTGGTCGCTCTTGCGATGTCGTCCTTACCATGTCGGATAGCATCAAGAACGCAGGTTTTGTGGATGTGCATGAAAAAATCTACAAATGGCCAATTGGGCCATGGCCCAGAGACCAAAAGTTCAAGGAGGCAGGCGTGGTCAATTGCCAACACTGGATGTCTGGTATGGAAGGATGGTGTATGTGGCTGCTAACGAAATTTGGTGATCCCGAGCCGTGGACTAAGGAGCAAGTTCATGTATACTGTGCCAAGATACGCAGTGAACTCAAGGACCCACACTACCATGCGTATCACAAAGCGTAAGTTCTGATCTGTCATCGCTCGCGTCGCTCACAGGCCAAACTGACCACCAGTATAGGAGAAGAGTGTGGGCTCGCAAGCCGATGCCTGGTGAAGTCCCGCCTAGGTCATCAAAGTCCAGCTCCAGTTCCGCTAGGGCAAAACCATGAACCCATCCGAGGATTCACCTGTCGGATAATGTATCAGGAGTGGACGACTCGCCTTCCTCGGTCTTCTCTGGTCCTCTCGAGGATCGGTTTGTTGCTTCGTTTGTATATAAATGATGCCCGTCACGAGCGAGCTATGTTCCTTTCGTCATAATACTCACCGTTCACCCTCTGCTACCTGCTAATTTAGACCTATACAAGTGGTGGTTGTTAGGACAACCAAGACACGTGGGGGGAAGATGTAGAAGTCCATATACATAAGCTGATTAAGCATTGTGATTGCGGAGCGAAGCGAAGCAATTAAATTGTAGTCACATAAGCACTGATCATCAATGAGCTCTCTGATTTGCTCACAGAGTACGACCAGAGTGGAAGGTTGAACGCAGCTACATCAATAAAATGCAGGGAATTAATGAACACGCTAGTTACTTATCTCCTTGTTTAAGAAACTGAACAAATCAATCAGTATATTCATCGCGTGGAATGCGTTGTTGAAATATTTCTTCAACACTCAAATAATATTTGCATTTTATCGTTCATCAAAATCATGCCTTTCTCCAGCAAGTGTCCTTACATCATAATCTTCACCCAGTTGATCACCTCATCTTTTTGCTGCCTGCAATTATTGCCCGTGTTTTAGATCCCGCCTATTATCTCGTGAGTGGGACTCCACGTCTACTCGAGTAAACGGCCATGTCCGTGTCAGATGTTCGATTCTCGTGCGGGTTACTTCAGCCGGATGGCTCTATGGAAGCCGATTGGCTCGCAGCACAGCTCATCTTCCCTGGTAGAATTTCCTACTTCTAAAAGTGGCTGTATATACTCCGTAGCTATCTCATGCATTAAGACCTAGATTGGCAGAACAGCCCCCAGCCCCTGTTTATCAGCACACCGCTCTTCCTCTCGTCATTCTTGTGCTTTATGAAGTTGGTTTTCTTCTCCTAACAGCTGTTCTACTGAATCTACTCTATTTTCAAACATTTCGAACGCAAAACCACGGCTACCAGCGATATGGATTACGAGGTTGAACAAGAAATCGTCGCATTCTTCGACAAGACTACGACGACTCACTCAGCCTGTGATAACTAAGCGAGTGAGCATCTTGGTGGAAATGTCACTCCAGTCGACGTGCAAGGCGTGTGTAGCTACACCGTCTATGCTGGCCCTAACGCCGGATTCGTCGTGCAGTATCGTCTGAAGTCCCTAGCACTGAACATGGACATTATGAATCTCGTCAAAGCCATTTACGGTACCTTGACACCCCAGATCTCCTTCAAGGGACAGATTGGGGATAATCATGAGATTAAAGAACCGCTTTACATATACGTTATGAACCGAATGCTAGGCATCTCTCAACTGGATTTTATCCTAGCCCATAACGGTGATGTACCTAAAAACTCGCTCGAGTTCTCTCGCTAGCGCCAAAATCTTGTGGCCGACAACGCAAAGTGATTCATTTCTACGTGATATATACAGAATTGCTGATCATATGTCTTACTATGTAGATTCTTTGCTCTATTTTGAAAAGGTCCTCAGGATGTTGATCAAACGTACCGCGAGAGCCTGTGCCATCAGTTCAAACGAGACCTGAATTTGTTACTTGCTTCTCTCCCCATTCGATTCCATCCATTGATCAAGAAGTCTCTTGACTCGTTGCCGGCCATCTTTTCACTTCCTTTGGTGCTACTACACAATGATTTTGGTTCCTTCAACATGCTGGTGAACGAAAATTCTTGCAATCTGCTCGGCATGATTGATTGGGCCGAAGCTGAGATTGCTCCATTCGGCATAAATCTCTACGCTCATGATCGTTTGATAAGATCCATTTGAAACATGGCTGGTCCAGGTATGATGATTATCGCCTTTTGGATGAGATATTCTGGAGCACGTTTAGTCAAGGGACCGGAGTGGACAATGAAACAATCAAAACCATCAAAGCTGCAAGGATTGCTGGAGTACTGTTGTGGCTTGGCTTCACAAGTCGTCTTCCGAATGAGCCGAAGCCAGTACCGATTCCTGATGATGATGAAAGTGGAGCATATGGCATGCGTGATTTAGAGCTTTTGATTAATCCAGCTACGAGGTTCACGGACTTGGTATGATAAGATGAACGTGTGTCTAGAATGGCGGCCAAGCACACCAAGCATGTGTACCAGTACGGCAGCCGAAATGGGCCAAACGGAATGCTTAGTAATACATATATCATTTTTACCGCTGGAGTTCCAGCGTTTCGCGCACCGGGGAGTCGAGTAACGTTATGTTGGTGTTCAGTTCGCATGCGCCTCCAAGGCCCTCCCAGCAGCCAAACATGGAGTACGTCAGTGCGCGCTGGAGAAGAGGATGCGCGGGGTGGGATCGGCATGACAGAAAATGTACGGCCCAATCCAAACCCTTCAAATTCAGGCCGGGCTGTCACGAAGTCCGTGAGAGGGATGGTGAAGTATTCGAGATGAGGAGCAACGGTATAAGCCATCTTGATTTGAGTAGTGCTGATGTTGTCTTACCTTCCCCGCCAGGCAACCCCTGAGCTGTTTTTTTTTTTTTTGGAAAAAAGTGAAAAGAGGAGAATACCAACTACAAAATCATAGAATAAGATGTAATCTTGTGATATTGCCATTTCTACACTTCCCTGTAAGATTTCAATCTATGTCGTATGAGTCATTGTATTTCATGATGACAACTATAGATGTATATATATGTTATATACATTCAAATCCTGAATCTATTTTGATTTTGATATTTTTCTCTCGGTAGTCCCATGGCCTAGAATATTAACCTAGAGGTATCACAAAAGGGTCGCTGAAGGGAATAGTTTAATAGTCTGATGTGGGCAATATGAATCACAGAATTGGGTGAGAATCAAATGTCTCAGTTGAAGACAACAGTCTTATGGCCGTTCAAGATCACGCGACGCTCTGTCACGTACTTGACAGCAGTGGCGAGTACGTTGCTCTCCACGTTGCTGCCGGCATGGGTCAGCTCCTTGGGGCTCATGCCGTGGTTGACCCGAACGACATTCTGTTCAATGATCGGGCCTTCATCCAGATCACTAGTGACGAAATGAGCAGTGGCACCAATGATCTTCACACCGCGGTCGTAGGCCTGGTGGTAGGGCTTAGCACCCTTGAAAGAGGGTAGGAAGCTGTGGTGGATGTTGATAATGCGACCGGACATGGCGGAACATAGGGTTGGGGACAACACCTGCATATACCGAGCCAACACAATCAAATCAACGTTGTGTTGGCTCACCAATTGCAGAATCTGGGCCTCCTGGTGCGACTTGGTCTCCGCGGTGACGGGAAGGTGGTGGAATGGGATGTTATAGGTGGCCGCGAGGGTAGCAAAGTCCGGGTGGTTGGAAACAATTAAAGGCACCTCAATGCTCAGCTGGCCGGTGGATTGGCGGAAGAGCAGGTCGTTGAGGCAGTGGCCGATCTTTGAGACCATGATCAGCACGCGGGGCTTTTTCGCAGTGGGGTTGATCTCGAAATTGAGGGAGAACGACTGCGCAGTGGGCTCGAACGCAGTGCGCAATTTCTCGAGTTCGGGGACTTCATCTCCTCCACTTGCAAGCGCAAATTGTGTGCGCATAAAGAAGCGCTCAGAGGCAGGATCACCGAATTGCGACGAATCGATAATGTTGAGGTTGTTCTGGACGAGAAATGCAGTGACCGCGTGGACAATACCAGGACGGTCAGGGCCGGACAGGGTCAAAATGAAGCTAAAAGCCATAATAAATGAGAGAACGGTGTTGAATCCGCTGATGTTCCGTTGAATAGTTAAGAGGATGGAGAAGAATTGTCCTGGTTTCTTTTCTTTTTTCTCTTTTTTTTTTGTGAATCCCACTCCCAATGTTGCCGGTTTCGGCGATGACTCATCTGCTGCCATTGCCCGCCTTCGGCTTCTTCTTTTGTTTACTTTGCGCCCTTTTGAGCTTCAATCATCACTTTGATCTATGTGATCTCCTGTCCTTGATCTACAGTATCATTTGGGCTCAGGATCGACAACGAAAACATCTCAGCTCGATCATTTTACTCCCCCATGCGTCGGATTCCATCTTTCTAGCCACCTTTTCTCTCGCGCGACGCAAAGCCACTCGGCAACAACATTATGCATCGATCTCACCTACCCAGGTGTCATGAGACTAGAACTGCGTTGCTGACAGGCCTGTGCTCGGCATTGGTTCCTTGACCCCCGTGATTAAACCAAGTTATCTTCACGACGCTAATGCATCCCATTGCACTTCCACGAGCCAGCGTGCGCAGCCAACACAAATTACCGAGAACTGGGGAAAAGGCTACCCCGTATAGACCCTAGATCTGGGCTACGGTAGTTACTATTTTGTCACGGATTTAAGATTTTTGTTTAATCTGGGTGTGCTAACATCTCCAAGTCGGGCGTCCTACCCAGCATGGCGTTGTCTGCCTAATTCGGAGGCTAGCCATTTAGCCGCCAATGCGTTTCCATACGATGTGACTGTGTTGTTGGGGGCTATTTGGCGAGCCGAATAAAATCGTCCCTTACCAAGCGATGGGAATGTTCACAGCCATCTCATTCGCACCAAGAAGCCGCCTCCACAAAATGACACCAACTACATCCGAAGCCAGTCGCGGGGGGCTCCCTCCGTGTCCCCGGAGTGTTTGTCGTACTTCTCCATTGGGAAGCACGATGAATTGTGACCCTTGCTAGTTCCTATTAGAATATAAACGGACTATGTATCTATCTGATTCTTAATTTCCTCATCAATTCACCCGGCAATCAAGACCTCATCATGGCTTCCACTCTCTCCAATTTTTACAAAGATGCCCTGCTGTTGGTCGCCTTGCTCAGAACTGCACAGGCACAACAGGTGGGCACAAACACCGCTGAGGTTCACCCATCCTTGACTTGGCAAAAATGCACCACTGGAGGCAGCTGCACTTCCCAAAGTGGCAAGGTTGTCGTCGACGCCAACTGGCGCTGGGTTCACAACACTGCCGGCTTCACCAATTGCTATACTGGCAACGAGTGGGATACAACTATCTGCCCGGACGATATTACTTGTGCCACTAACTGCGCCCTAGAAGGTGCCGACTACTCGGGCACTTATGGCGTTACCACCAGTGGCAGCTCTTTGCGGCTGAACTTCGTCACCCAGGCATCTCAGAAGAACATTGGCTCACGTCTCTACCTGATGGCAGATGATAGCAAGTATGAAATGTTCCAACTGCTCAATCAAGAGTTCACCTTCAATGTCGATGTCTCGAATCTTCCCTGCGGCTTGAACGGTGCTCTCTACTTCGTATCCATGGACGCAGATGGTGGCATGGCACGATACCCTGCCAACAAAGCCGGTGCTAAGTACGGCACTGGTTACTGTGATTCCCAATGCCCGCGCGACCTTAAGTTCATCAACGGCCAGGCCAACGTGGAAGGGTGGGAGCCTTCTTCCAACGACGTCAACGCAGGTACTGGCAACTATGGTTCTTGCTGTGCTGAGATGGATATTTGGGAGGCCAACTCGATCTCCACTGCAGTCACACCTCATCCCTGCGATGACCCAACCCAGACTAGGTGCAGTGGAGATGCTTGTGGTGGTACATACAGCAATGACCGCTATAGTGGTACTTGTGACCCTGATGGATGTGATTTCAACCCATATCGCATGGGCAACCAGTCTTTCTATGGCCCGAGCAAGATCGTTGATACCAAGTCCCCTTTCACAGTGGTGACTCAGTTTATCACCAACGACGGTACATCCACTGGCACGCTCTCTGAAATCAAGCGCTTCTATGTACAGAATGGCAAGGTTATCCCCCAGTCTGTATCTACCATCAGCGCTGTTACTGGCAACTCTATCTCCGACTCGTTCTGCTCTGCTCAGAAAGCCGCTTTCGGGGACAGGGACGTATTTACTCAACATGGTGGCATGGTGGGCATGGGGGCTGGCCTTGCTGATGGCATGGTTCTGGTGATGAGTCTCTGGGATGACCACGCGGCCAACATGCTGTGGCTCGACAGCACTTACCCAACCGCCTCTTCTTCGACTACTCCAGGTGCTGCTCGTGGTAGCTGTGACATTTATTCTGGCCAGCCTATCGATGTTGAAGCTAACAATGCGGGTGCCTACGTTATCTATTCAAACATCAAGGTCGGTCCTCTCGGTTCGACTTTCAGCTCGACCAACTCAAGTGGGACAACCACCACAGTCACCACCAGCAGCACCACCACCAAGGCAACCAGCACCACCACCACTACTACATCAAGCACCACCGGCGCTCCTCAATATGCGCAGTGCGGTGGAATTAACTGGACCGGTGCAACCACCTGTGCCAGCCCGTACACCTGCCAGAAGCAGAGTGATTACTACTCGCAATGCCTGTAGATATTAGGCAACCGCTAGTGTGTAGTGGTGGAGACTCGGAAAATGGTGAAGATAAGAAACGATTGGATCAGTTTCTCACGCTCTTTGTTGAATTGATGGTTTTGGCTTTGCTTGAATTCGAGAGATTGATTTTGCGTTCTTTTAAATTGAAATCCGTATTTTTTTTCTATTCTCCGATCTTTCTCCGTATATAATATGCAGGAGCTCTTAGGTATAACCATCATATCCCCGTTCATTGCTTTGCTGCTCGTCTTTCGACACGCAGGGCTTCAAACAAACTTTAGTCACCAAATTGAGCATCGGCGAAGGATTATTAGGAATGAGGATGATTTATTCGGCTCCCTTGTGACTCCAGTCAAAGTCAACAGGGATTTGTAGAGCCTATTTGATCCGACGAATGCAATACGTGTACAAAATTTGGTTTATGCATTCAATCAGCATTGCGCACTCGAGAAGCGCCTAACGTACAAGCGAAATCCAACCCTGCTTAACTAGTCGGAGCAGCCTCCGGTTTCCGTATGGCTTCTTCAAGATGAACAAGGTAACGCCACATGCATCAGCCGGGTCTGGGTATGCGGGGTATTCCTTGCAGGGGTTATCGGCTTACATTGTTCAGAAACCAGTGCTGCAGTTGCAAGCCCGTGAGATTTGTCGGATAAATGACCGGAAACTTGGGCAGTCTGACAATCGTCAGGCTCTTGGCTATAGGTACTGTACTGTTTGTCGGCAATATACTCCCATATCCATGGAGTACTGTAAATTGATTCCATTTTGCTTTCCAGCTTTTCCGGTGCCTCTCGTGTCTAAGCTCCTTACCCCGTCGCCTCATATCCGAAATGCCAGCCACGGAGAGATTGATGCCGTGCCGAATCTGGACTACATTTCTCTCGTATATTAGCGATTCATTCTTATTCTAGCTCGGGTGGCGGTCCGCAAAAAGAAATCCCAAATTGAGGCCTCGAAGACGATCCCCGCAGACCTTTCTCTTAAGCTAAAGTGTTTCCTTATACGTAAGAACGAAGCTTCGCAGTCTAAGTCCTAGGTAGGCAGGGAGCTTGCTCCTTGTCGTTATTGTTCATTGTAAACTTGATATAAATCCTATTATAACTCCTGATACATTCACACTGCGTAGCAGCCTCGACAATTCCATCACCTAGTCAAGATGCGGTTTACCTCTTTATTTACCATAACCGGCATCACAGGCCTGGGACTAGCAGTACCAGATGCGGTGGAATTAACTGGACCGGTCCAACCACCTGTGCCAGTCCGTACAGCTGCCAAAAGCAGAGTGAAAACTACTCGCAGTGCCTATAGGTGAAGCAGTAGAGCAACAAGACATCGGGATCAGCGGTAGCTTGACGAGGGTTCTACATTGTTGATAAAATCAAATGTTCATACATACTTGTAGATCTGGATGGCTCTGGTAACTCAATGTTGTACAGATCGTTTGTTAGGAGTCTCTTCGTGTTTTGTTCTACACAGCAACATTCCACTTCATCTCTCTCTATTGCAGAGTAGCAACCAGCTCATCCACGGTTTTCATCTCGCGACCGTTGTTCTCGCCGACGTCCAGTGCAACCAAAAACCGACTCACACAGTTATAACCGGCGATGCCAGTGGTGAGCTCCACGATCTCGCGGTCATCGTACCCGACCGTCTTCAATTCAGCAAAAACAGCATCTTCAACTTTAATGGTGCGAGTCATTTGGTCGGTATAGCGTAAAACGGCGCGCTGTTGTGGGGTGAGTGCGCTAGTCTCAAGCTCGGAAATATCTCCCTCGGCGGTACAAGGCAGTGTGAGAGCAGCCTGCAATTGACTGGGCTTGATACCACCTTTGAGAGCCAGTGGAGCGTGGGCATTCCATTCGTAAACAGCGTTATTGAGTACAGCGACACGGCAGACTGCCAACTCCATGACACCAGAGTCAACCAAAGTGCGCGACCGAATAGCTCCGATGAAGCTGTTCCAGCCATCGGCGACAGGTGGGCTATGGAGGAGGGATAGGTCAAGCGGGATTAAAGGACGGGGGTTTCTGCGCTCCGCGATGCGGGCATAGATGTCGGCGGTGTCAGGGTGCGCATCGACAGGCGGGGTGGAAGGGGCGTAAGGCAGACGCATGGTGCGTGTATGATTGATTCCGAGTGATATGGGGTTATGTTTGAAGATGGTGTATCTACGCTGAAACACGTACATTGGAGTCCGTTTTCAAAGTATTATGTTTTTTTCAAACCTCAACAGTTCAAACGCGGGGGCGGGAAATGTCTTACCCGCCCACGTGGGGGAGTGTTTCTCCGGCATCATATAGGTCTTCGTAGGCATCACTTCCCGATTAGAAATGTCTACTCCGTACTCTTCAGGCTTGTATCGAAATGAGAAGTCGGTTTATTAATAGTAATAGATCAGGCTGAGTTCATATTCTCGCCGCAAACGAGCTCCAAGTCACTATGAACAGTCTCAAGAGCAATTTGCAAAGTTAGTATGTTGTACAACAGATATACTTGGACGCTACCCCGGATTGCGGAGGGCACTCGGAGCTTTGAAAACGTGGTGGGCTTAGGGCTTAGGTATTTCAAAAAATTATACTCATACTCACCTGGAACCCTCAAATTATCAGAGAACAAAATAATGGCAAACTTGATCCCAACACCGGCACTAGAGTAAAAACATACTCCCGCAGGGTGCCGCCCCTCGATGCCGATATCCCCCCCGCATGCGGATAACATTGAACTTTCATTATATTGAAGTTTTCGCCTTATACATGATCCGTTCTGTTTTCTCTCGGCCATCTGCAATCTCTCGGTCATTTTCTCACTCCTCAATCGCCAATATGAAGCATCATTTGATGGTCGGTACCTGGACTGCCCCCGGACGTATCTATACCGTGCAATTCGACGACGATGCCCTTACGCTAGAGTTGGTCAAAAATACCGAGATTCCAGAAGCCGAGCCCATCTCATGGATGACTTTTTCTCACGATAAGAAGGCGATATATGGCGCGGCTATGAAGAAGTGGAACAGTTTCGCTGTCAACAGCCCAACAGAGATCATTCACCAAGTGTCGCACCCGGTGGCTGGTCACCGTATGTCTACGGAGTCAATGGAATACATGTCCAATTTACCCTCGCTAACTCTTTCTTTTGTTTCGCGCTAGCTCTGGCTCCCAGCAGCGAGACCAACACTCGTGCTATCTTCGTGCTTGCCGCCCACAAGCCTCCCTACAATGTTTACGGCAACCCTTTCTACAACTACGCCGGTTACGGTAACGTGTTTTCTGTGAAGCCCGACGGAAGTCTGGATAGCAATATCCAGAACTACGAATATGTCCCCAACACTGGTATCCACGGCATGGTGTTCGACCCCACGGAGACGTACTTGTACTCCGCCGATCTCACGGCGAATAAGATTTGGACGCACATCAAGGACCCCAAGACGGGCGAATTGACACTGGTGGATTGCCTCGAGGCTCCTGATGCCGGCGACCACCCCCGCTGGGTCGAGATGCACCCGAGCGGCAAGTACCTGTACGCGCTGATGGAGGCGGGCAATCGGCTGGCAGTCTACGTGATCGATGAGCGCACCCACAAGCCAGTATTCACTCACATCACGTATCCCTTACTGCCTTCCGGTGAGTTTCGACAAATGCGACCGATGTTGATGGTAACAACTAACTCATTAGGCCTCCCCCCGCGTAACAAGTATCGTGGAGATGTCACTTTTTGCACCAAGGGTGGAGAGTACCTTTTCGCGACTACTCGGTCAAACCATTTCGATGTGACTGGCTACATCACCGCGTTCAAGCTCGGCTCGCATGGCGAGATCGAGCGCCAGCTCTTTATCAACCCGACCTCGACCAGTGGTGGCCACTCCAACGCCGTCAGCCCCTGTGACTTCAGTGACGAGTGGCTTGCGCTGTGCGATGACCAGCTTGGGTTTGTTGAGATGTACCGCTGGCGTGATGAGAAGTTGGCACGCGTCGCGCGGGTGGATATCCCCGAACAAGGATTTGGTATGAATGCCATCTGGTATGATTGAACGAAGAAATTAGAATAAATGAAGATCAACATGTAGAGCAAAAGATTATGTACAGTACACAAAATAGATTGGTGTAAAAAAAGACAAAAAGCCGAAAGGGAAATATCGTCGGCAGTCAAGTTCGGGTTCTGCTTTCACCCGGATGAGGGCGCAATTCGAGTGCCGATGTTCTTTATGTTCTGGGGATCCTCTTTTTTCGCATTTTCGCATCTTTGGCTCCTTTCTCTGTATTGTCTATTCTGGATTTCCTTTAGCTCTTCATCATGCCTACTCCCGGTCTTCTCTACGTGACAATGCAGCCCAAGGGCTCGCTACCGGACACCCAGTTCCACGACTGGTATAACACTGAACATGGGCCTCTGCGTCTGCGATTGCCCTTTGTCACTAATGGCTTTCGTTTCCGTGCCACAGATGGAGAACAGCCTGAATATGTGGCTTTGTACGATATTACCGACATGGACGAGTTGACCCGCAAGACCTACTTGGATCTGAGAACCGATATGATCAAGACTGAGCGGGAGAAGAAGACTATGGCCCAAATTGATGTCGGCCGTTTACTGTATGATCTAGTGGATGAGCGCAGCAACCCGAACTTCCGCCCGCTAGAAGATCAAGCCGATACGGATGCCGAGACCCGGGGTAGCGTCCTCGTCGCCGTCCGAGTTGCCACTCACCCCGACCCCGCCAAAGAAGCTGACCTGGATAAATGGTACCGCGAGGAACATTTTGAGATGCTCTCTCGTGTGCCTGGATGGCGCCGGAGTCGCCGTTTTGTCACTGCGGCGATCGATTCCGCCGCCCCGCGCGAATCGCTGACTCTCCACGAGTATGCCCCCGTCAATGGTCTTGGAGGTGAGGCCCACAAGGCCGCCATGAATACCCCATGGGGATCGCGTCTCATGAGCGAGGTGGTCACATCTAAGAAGCGTCGCGTATATGAGTGGTACTACACCTTCGGCCCTGCTCCCCGTGAGCTCACTTCGCTAGCTGCCCCAGATGTCGTTGGTCCCTGGAGCTCCAATGATGGCCGTACTCGCACATTTCCCTCGACCACCCGCCCAGCTGTCGAGTCGTTCATCACTACTTCTGATGGGGTTGAGATCCCCTACAGGCTGGAGGGTAGCAGAGACCCCTACGCGCCTGTCGTCGTTCTGAGCAACTCCATCCTAGTCAACTGGAACATATGGGATCGTTTCCTTGACGCCTTCTTTGCTCAGCAACAGAATCAGCGTTACCGTGTCGTGCGCTATTTGACTAGAGGCCGACGCTCGCAGAGTGGTGAGCAGCCTGTCAATATCGATTTACTGGCCTCTGATCTGGCTACGTTGCTGGAGGCTTTGCGTGTGCCTCCCAAGGCCGCTCGTTTGATTGGTGTCAGCCTGGGTGGTGTGACCGTATTGAACACTGCTCTCCTTCACCCGGAGCGCGTTGGAGCTTTCATCGCATGCGACACCAACTCCTCCGCACCCGAATCCAACCGTAAGGCATGGGGTGACCGCGTGGCTATCTGCGAGAAGGAAGGCTCTACCGATCCAGACACCAATGAGCCCATTGTTGGCGAAGAGTTAGCCGAGGTAACCACCCGTCGCTGGTTCGTGCCGGAATCATACCAGGCCCAGCCCGAGGTCCTTGCGCCTGTCAAGGAGGCTGTGCGCACCAACAGCTTGAAGGGATTTGCCCATAGCGTGCAGGCCCTCTGTGCCTACGATATCCGTGAGCGCATGGCTGCTGCCACTGTGCCAGGCCTGTTCATCGCTGGAGCCAATGACGGTGTCCTACCTCAGACAATGCAGAAGATGGCAGCAGATCTACATGGTGGCGCCGAACTGAAGCTCATCGACCGTGCCGGCCATCTACCCATGGTAGAGCAGCCTGTGGCATTCGAGAAAGTTGTGACTGAGTTCCTCGGGAAAATTGATGGTTGATTGCATTTCTATAGGTCATGTGTAGATAGATTTTGTTCGGGCGTATGCAAGGAAATGACTGATGAATATGTTGACTGAACCTTCGCCAGTGAGACATGACTGTATCTTCCCTTCAAGTGCGTGCTTGTATAGAGTATTGTTCGACTGATCAAATCATAACTTCGGATCCACCAATGTGTATGTACGGGCATGTGCGTCAGATGATCTCCGGGCTTCCGTTGTATGGTAAAAGCCTGAATATATTGTCCAGAGGATGAGGATGCTTATGCGGGAGGGAAGGGTGACCGGAGGCTGGGTGTCTTTCGAAGTACCTCAATGAATATTCAGTAGACCGAGGTCCAAATGTCAAGAAAAATCTCAACTATGAGCTGTATCACAGAGCATTGTTGAGCACAATCGTAAAGAGGAGAAGACGAAATGATGAGAAGAAAAAGTTGCAGAGCTGAACAGTTCGGCAGACGAAGGCGGCCAAGGGTGAAATTCAGCTTGCGGGGGGAAACGTCACACTTCTCCTTGACGCGCACTTTTCTACACGTTCTTCTTCTCCGCTCTCTTTCACTGTTTCTTCAATTATTCCTTTCTATCATGCCTGAGAGCAAGATTCCTCAACCGGGTCCTGCCAAACTGAAGCGCAATGCGGGCCCTGACGAGTGGCTGGAGGCAGCGAAGGATTGCAAGTATCTATCGGAGCCACATATGAAGCAACTGTGTGAGATTGTCAAAGAATACATGATGGAGGGCAAGTGCTATTCAACCTGAACTCAGTTCTATTATTCTAACATTGTTCGCAGAATCAAATATCCAACCAGTATCGACACCTGTCACAGTCTGTGGTGACATTCACGGCCAATTTTACGATCTCCTGGAACTCTTTCGAGTTTCTGGAGGCATGCCTGATGGTACAGAACTCGATCCGCCGAAGACATCCCCCTCCGTGATTACCTCGGCCGATATCGAACCTCCCTCAAGCATCTCAGATCCTAAAATTCGCAAGAAGCTTCGCGGCTCCAACATGAACTCCAACGACGAGGAAGATTCGAGTTCACGGAGCCGATCGGCCAGCGGTACATCTGCAGATCTCCAGCTTAACCGCAACTTTGTATTTCTAGGCGACTACGTGGACCGTGGATACTTCAGTCTTGAGACATTAACGCTCTTACTCTGTCTCAAAGCGAAGTAGGTCGCACATGGCACCTCCTGGCGGGTACGTGTTCACTGCTGACTCAATATCCTAGATACCCCGATCGAGTCACACTGGTTCGTGGTAATCACGAGTCGCGCCAAATTACTCAGGTATACGGTTTCTACGAAGAATGCTTCCAAAAATACGGCAGTGCTTCAGTATGGAAGGCATGCTGCCAGGTTTTCGATTTCATGACATTGGGGGCTATTATTGATGGCAAGGTGTTGTGTGTTCACGGTGGCCTGAGCCCTGAAATTCGCACATTGGATCAAGTCCGCGTGGTAGCCCGTGCACAGGAGATCCCTCACGAAGGTGCCTTCTGTGATCTCGTGTGGTCTGATCCAGACGATGTGGAGACGTGGGCTGTCAGTCCTCGGGGAGCAGGTGAGAATCATCTAGGTCTTTCTTGAACACGCAGCTAACAATTTTAGGATGGTTATTCGGAGACAGAGTGGCCGATGAGTTCTGCCATGTCAATGATCTCTCGCTGATCGCACGCGCTCATCAGCTAGTGAACGAGGGCTATAAATACCACTTTAACAACCAAAATGTTGTCACCGTGTGGAGTGCGCCGAATTACTGCTACCGATGCGGAAACCTGGCCTCGGTCTGTGAAATCGGAGAGGATCTCAAACCCACCTTCAAGCTGTTTAGTGCAGTCAGCGATGACCAGCGGCATGTTCCAGTCTCGCGGCCAGGGCGCAGCGAGTACTTTTTGTAAGATGCGATGCGAGTTCTGCACCGGCGCTGGCGTTCGGTTTGATATTTGGGCGGCAGGATAAGCATTATATAATGATTTAGACCAGACTTAATGATGCATACGCCTTGTGTTTATGAGAAACCAAAAGGGATCATCTCAAGCTCTAGAGATCTGAATAGAGAACCGGCGTTCCGAAAACTTGATATCCCTTGAAGAGCAACCCCGATCAACCTCTCCCCGCGCTCCATACTATGGGAAGCAACGACATGGGGTAAATTAAAACAAGGGTTCGCAATATCAACACGGCAGTCACCAGGGGATTGACTGCCGAGGCTTCTCGTCCAGAGCGATTGTCCCGCAATTGCCTGCCGGGGCGAATCCCGAGATCCGGGGGATCTCTCCCAGGTGCACCATAAAAGATCCTAGATATATGCACTCGCTAAGTGCATTTGATCTCAATCTGCGCGCACTTATACAATGGAGAAAGTCGATGTTCTCATTTGCGGCAGCGGGTCTGCCGGTCTTTGCGCTGCCACTTGGCTCGCCAAGTATGGGGTGCGGTGCAAGGTACTAGAACGGCGGGATGGTCCCATGAAGATGGGCCAAGCTGACGGGGTACAATGCCGCACCGTGGAAATTTTTGAAAGCTTCGGAATTGGGGAGGAGCTTCTTCGTGAGGCTTACCACGTTCTAGAGGTCAACTTCTGGGCCGACAATGGCACAGGCGCCATCGAGCGGACAGGCTGGACGGCGGATACCCAGCCGGGTCTATCACACCAACCTCACGTTATTTTGAATCAGGCACGTATCAACGGGCTCCTCATAGACCTAATGCAGAAATATAATGATCAACAAATCGACTATGGCTATAATGTGACCAATGTCAAAGTTGATAGCACCTTCGCTGAGGATCATGATGCCTATCCTGTCAAAGTCACTGCGGAAAAGGATGGAAAGACAGAAATCTTTGCAGCCAAATATGCATTGGTAGGTGCTCATTATCTTTGGGGTCTAGACGTTTTCTGACCCGACCATCAGGCTTGTGATGGGGCACACAGCATTGTCCGCAAAGCCCTCGGGTATAAAATGATCGGAGACAGCAGCGACGCTGTCTGGGGTGTCATGGACATGGTGCCCCGAACGGATTTCCCGGACATTCGCAAGAAGTCTACTATTCGCTCGAAATCAGGGAATGTCTTGATTATTCCCCGTGAAGGCGATAGCGATAACCTGACAAGGTTCTATATTGAACTTGCTCCAGGAACCAACCCGAAAGAGGTGACTCTAAATAATTTGCAGGCCCAAGCACAGAGCATCTTCCACCCTTACAAGGTAGAATTTGTGGAAACGATTTGGTGGTCTGCATATGCCATCGGCCAGCGTCATGCCGATTTCTTTCACAAGGATCACCGGGTCTTTCTCGCTGGTGATGCTTGCCACACCCACTCTCCGAAAGCCGGCCAAGGTATGAATGTCAGCTTACAGGATGGCTACAATATTGGCTGGAAGCTCGGGGAGGTTTTGACTGGTCTAGCTAGTCCCTCGCTTCTAGAGACTTACGTTATAGAACGTCAAAAGGTGGCCGTTGATCTGATTAACTTTGACCGTTACTTTTCCAATTTGTTTTCTTCTGGGGCCTCAACATCTCCTGCCGAGTTCCAGGAAGGCTTCATCAAGTCTGGCAAATATACAGCAGGTTTAACAGCCAAGTATGAGGTGTCGTCCATTACATCTTCATTGGAATCGACCAACCTCGCTTCTAACGTGGCCGTTGGTATGCGGATGCCCAGCGCGCAGGTCGTGCGATTCTGTGACTCCAAACCTCTACATCTCATGAAATCTCTCAAGTCAGATGGCCGGTGGCGTATCATGGCTTTCGTGGGTGACCTGACTGTACCAGAAAACCACACAAAGCTCAACCAGGTATGTTGGTCACTTCCGAAATGTACTTAAGCCTTATCTAACGTATCGTATAGCTGGGAGAATACCTGACCGTGGCGGATGGGCCCATCCAGACATTCACTCCTGAGGATCAAGACATTGACAGCCTGATCGAGACTATTTTGATCGGGTATGGAAATCGTCATGGTATTGAGTTGGAGCAAATCCCGGAATGCTTTTATCCAGTCTCTGGGAAATACCAAACAAGAGGTGCATATTCTCTAATATCTTATGGTCCCATCATTCCTAACCCAGAGTATTTAGATCTACACAAGATTTATTACGACGACGAGAGTTACAACAATGGGCACGGCCATGCATACGAGTATCTCGGCATTGATGCGGCACAGGGTGCTCTTATCATTGTTCGGCCGGACCAATGTAAGCAAATCCGTAATCGTGAGATAACTAGATACAACTGACGCTTTCAAATCGATAGATGTTTCTGCTATTATTGGTCTAAGCGATTATTCTGAAATCGGCAACTTCTTTGCTGGGTTTCTCCAACGTCAAACGTACGTTGCGAAGGATACGAAGGACACACCTAAATAACATGTACAGTAGGGCCATGAATTCCAGCTGTCAGGCGTCCAGCCCAATTGCAGACATCATGGAGAAACATGGTTAGGTTGAAATAAATGGGAATTTGAGTGGAGTTTGCAAACTTTGAATATCATTAATGTGCTCAATTTTCCTGCGGAGGGTATTGTGATTCAAAGGTCGGTCTATATCGAAGCTGCTTGAAATCCGTACAAATTGCATGTGTCAGGCTATCCTTACCAATGGGGCAGACTATCTAGTCCTATTTGTGTAGTTGCCCTCGGTCTCCGACACCTATCATCCGATTTTTATCCTGATCTCACGCCGAGCTCACGTTACATTGAGAGTCACTCATGTCTTCCAATTCAATCTAGACTTATTCCCTCCGGGCTTAACAAATCTTCGGAGTAAATGTTATTATAAACGTCGATATTAAAACCTTTTTATATCAAATTTCCCTTTTCGTTTTGGTACTCGGAACAGTTTCCTAAACACTAAGCCGGACTTTCACTATGGAGGTTTCTGTTGTCATGTTTGCTGCTATTCTACTGGCCACGTCTATCATCGCATCTCCTCTCTCCTCTCGGCTACAGACAGACGGTGAGATACTGCGATCTTCCCAAGCTCTGCGCCGCACGATCCAGCCTCATAAACCAGGCACCTTAGAAGTGCTGGATCTGAACCAAACGTCCCACGAGACTTACAGCTCCAACTGGGCCGGCGCTATCCTCATTGGTACCAGATACACTGCGGTATCCGGAGAGATCACAGTTCCTGTCCCCCAACTTCCAAATGGTGCTGATCCTTATACAAATTACTGCGCCTCTGCATGGATTATCATCGACGGCGATACTTGCAGAACAGCCATTCTAAAAGCTGGAATCGATTTCTGTATCCAAGGAGGCCTCTGTTCATATAGCGCGTGGTACGAATGGTATCCAGACTACGCCCATGACTTTAGCAACATCCAAATTTCGGCTGAAAATGTGATCAAAATGACAGTCGATGCAACTTCGAAGAGTTCCGGCTTTGCGACTATCGAAAATCTATCCACAGGCGTATCTGTGACGCATATATTCCCCAATAGCCTTGGCGGTGACCTCTGCGAGTCCAACGCCGAATGGATTGTGGAGGATTTTTCTGTAAAGAACGCATTGGCTCTTTTCGCCAACTTCGGCACTGTAGTATTCTCCAATGCAGTTGCTTTGCGCGGTGGGATAAGTTACGGACCATCGGGTGCTCCCATCATGGACATCTATCAGGATCGAATCCTCACATCTACTTCTGTCAACGACAACACTGTCAATATCAGTTATATCTAGTTCTGACAATCTCTAGAACAATCCGGTGGAACATTGAAATTTTATAACAGAAATGAAATAGAAGTTGCCTACAATGACCTCGGCATAAAAATTACATCGTGCTTTCTATGCAATGTATGTCCATCCCGCTCTAGTAACTCTTATCAAACGGTTCACGGATATCAAGAACGTGGGCAGCTTTTCCCTGCAGACATATCTAACTACTGACTGACGCGATATTAGGAATATTCATGTATTAACACCAATATGGAGAGAAGAAGCCAGCTTTCTTCGATTAAAAAATGGCATTTACCTGTGATAACCGAAAAGAGGGAGATTGGGGACACACAAAGCAAACCCATCGCATAATTTATTATTTAAAAGTTGGATAGATTATTGTTGTCCCCATTTCTTGCTAATTTGGCTAGGTTTAAAACAATAGGTGACATCGAATTCTGCCATTAAACTAGAAATGTTGTATCATGGTCGCACAAGTCTATCCAGACGAAAGAGTCGACCTTTTAGGATCATCTGGCATTTGTATTCCATGAAATCGCCAGAGAGCATCACATATCACATCGTAACAAGCCCCGTATCGCACAACCTTCATTGTGCTAAAATCGATCATGGTTGAAGAGGCTCGTGGATGGTGAAACTTTTGTGTCCCATAATCAACGACTATATCTGCCACCTCGAGGATTTCCGGCTCAATGCCCTCTACCACAGTCTTTGTTCCCTTTCCGCTGATATTGGCCGAAGATCCCATCAGAGGAAGTTCCTCTATAGCAGCAAGTCGAGATAATTCTTCTAGCAAACCACCCCCGTTGGCTAACATTGCTAAAGTGTCCCCAGCAACGCTCTGTGCTAATGCGTTTGGCGGAATTTTTTGGATAATCGGATGGTCAGCGCGATATGGTGCAATGATTCCTAGAGGAAGGTCCAAGTCCACGGTCAAGAGTTTGACCATACCGGCTTCTTTGGGGGGAAGAACATGAATATCTCGATGCAGATTGTAGCTTCCGACCATTGCATGTCGCTTGTGTGGTTCCCGCCGTTTCGTTCGAAAGATTCGGTCCAATGCGTCCGGGTTGATCGCGATGATCCCGTAGCCAACGCTCATCGGAATAATCGCAATACCACCCCGTTTCAGAACTTCGAACACCGCTCTGGCATCTTCTTTTGGGCTCGGTACTTTATAGAAAGACATGATCATTGTATGAAAGATTTGATGTATTTGGGCATCAGAGCTTCATTCTAGTCATGACAAGTGGATTAAATCTCATTTAACAATATGTCCAATACCGAGGGAACCGAGATATGTAACACAAAACACAGGAACTCATGTGAATGAAAGTGTAAATAATCTGGCTTGATCTCATTCCCGAGTGACACCTGCAATACTACTCTTTTGCTTCAGGTATCAAGGAGCCAGCTCATTCAATGTTCACAGAGGACTCGTTGGAAAGGAAATCCCCTCGATTGGCACCTTCGTTATCTCTGAGTTGGGATGTAGTCACATTGGATAATTCAGTTGGCCACACCGCATGCCAAGTTCCCTGTGCACGAACAGAATATTCATGTCCCTTTTCGAGGCCTGGAATCGGCAAATTCACAGTTACATCAAGGCTGTGTCGCGCTTGTATCTCAACGAGATCATCCTCGGAGGCAGGTAGCTTGCGTGATACCATAATAGTAGGGATGGGCAGTTTCCGTTGGGCCGTTGTGTCACAAATCTGGAAGACACCGAGAACACCAGCCTGAGGGTCCAATGGACTGCCCCATCTTAGAATGGTGACTGGTGTATCTGCGGCATTGTGAACAGAAACTTTGATTGGTAGAGCAAATGAATCTTGTGCTTCGGAGATTGGTGCCTGAAGGGCCACGGTGACCTGTAAACTCAAGTTTGACATAGTTGCGAAAAAGTCGTTTCCGTGATCAAGGTGCGAGGAGAATAATAGAATAGACAGCCGGCAAGTTACCAGTAGTATCGCGGGCCTTGGGTTGTTGAAAGACCAGAGGAGAGAATCTTATCACGCCTTATATCTGGAATTGTTGATAATGTTATTGATCTCTCATTTCAACCAATCAAACCTGTTAATTCTATGCCAAGCCGACTGGGCAGGCCGCTCCGCATTCCTCCGGGGCTCCCGTGCAATACACTCCTTTCTCGTAGACTTGGCACCGCTTCTCGTCCCAAACGGGCCCTTCATCACGATAGCCAAGCCTCTATGATGTTACCCCAAATAGCTGACACTAAGCACTATTTCTGAAGTCAAGACTTCGGCGCCGTCTTGGGTCGTATCTTGGCACTGTCTTGGCACCGGAGTCCGGAGACAAACGCACGGTCTGGGGCTTGGCGTGGTTTCCGGATCGTTCAGAATGATATGAGCTGAGCTGTTACCTAGTAGGTTGTATCATTATCATAGGCAATTTGTGTTGATGTTCCTATCGTACAATGTCTTTGTGTCTCACAAATCTAACAATGGTGGTGTACATATATTTGTGGTATATTCCCCCACGGAATGATCTTACTTTCAAAAGTTAATACCTTAGTTTGTCTATATATATCTCAAACACAAAGGTTTACATAGAGACTTGCAACTTTTAACGCCAAGTCTTTCTTTGTCTAGAACCGATCGTGAGGAGTTACATCGAGCAAGCCCTCGCCTGTTGAAGCATGATGTGGGATCAAATTGCAGTTTCATAGGCTTTCAGACATACGATCCATCCTTCAGGGGAACGGATTTCCGTCGGGCCAAGGACAACATCTATGATGATCTTCTGAAGATGCAGCTGTCTCAATATATCTCTAACCAGTGACAAGGTTGCGGACGGCCTGCCCCCGGGATGTTGTTATCTCACGATACATTCGACCAGTGACAAGATTGCTCGCAAGTCTCCCGTGTCCATCCTATGCAAGCGTGGCTTCTGGCGTGATCAGATTGTTTCATGCAGAGAGGTAACCACCCTGTTTCTTCCGCCATCCTTCTGGGCAACGCGGGGAGATGGAAGGTGTACAGGAGAGAGGAGACCGCGGCATTCCATTCAAAACGGCATCATGTGTCCAGTGGCTATAAAGCAGGCGTTCTTTTCTTCAGAATTGAATCTTTCTTATTCCAGCAGCATCCAAGATATCAGACTTACAACTTCATCTTCTTTTAGTGAATCAACCTTTTGACATCCGAGCATCATGCGTTTTACTGCCCTTTCCACGGTACTTCTGGCTCTAGCACAGCATGTGCATGCCTTGCCAGTCAAAACCAACGAGACTTCTGCTCTCGATATCACCTTGAGTCGTGTCACTGACACCCGTATCAAGGCTGTCGTGAAGAACTCTGGCAGCGAAGATGTCACATTTGTGCATCTCAACTTCTTCCGTGACACCGCACCGGTAAAGAAGGTTAATGTCTTCAAGAACGGTATATGAAATTTCTCCAGACCTTATCAGTTTAAAGCTAATTTAATATCAGATGCTGAAATCACTTTTGAGGGAATCAAGCGCCGGTTCGCCCTCGAGGGTCTCGCTGAGGAATCCCTCACCTCCCTCGCTGCAGGAGAGACCTTCGAAGATGAATTTGACATTGCCGCTACCAGTGACTTGTCTAGTGGAGGCCCATTGACTCTTCGTTCCACTGGCCTCGTGCCCCTGGTCACTGATGGTACAGTCACTGGATATCTGCCATACCGTTCCAATGATCTGAAGATCGAGGTTGACGGTGTCAAGGCATCCCGAGTGCTGAAGGCTATCAAGCCGCTAGATCGCCGTGCTCTTCAAACTTGCAGTAATGCAAGCAAGAAGTCTGCACTTGCCAATGCTCTTAAGAACACCGTGACGCTCGCAAGCAATGCTGCAGAGGCTGCCCTTTCTGGATCTTCCACTAAGTATGTGCATACCGTTCTACTACCAATTAATCATTCTAATAGCCTCCCATAGGTTCAATGAGTACTTCAAGACTACCAGCACCGCTACACGCAATGTCGTGGCTGCTCGCCTTCGGGCTGTGGCAAAAGAGGCCGGCTCGGTGACTGCCACTAAGTACTACTGCGAAGATACCTTGGGATAGTCAGTACCCCCTTTCGATAAAAACTTGACGTGCATATGACTAACAAATGTAATACAAATAGCTGCGAAACCAATGTCTTGGCTTACACTCTGCCATCTCAAAATGTGATCGCCAATTGTGATATCTACTACAGCAAGCTCCCAGCATTGACTAGCACATGCCACAGCCAAGACCAAGCAACCACAACTCTCCACGAGCTCACCCATGCTCCTGGCGTGTACAGCCCGGGAACCGAAGATAACGGATACGGATACAGCGCCGCGACAGCCCTCACTAGCGCAAAAGCTGTGTTGAACGCTGACTCGTATGCACTGTATGCCAATGGTTAGTGTTCGATGTTGAGTCCGTTTGAAGAAAATCAGCTAATCAGCAAACAGCAATCGCCCTTGGCTGCTGAATGGTCAATTCTCCGTACAATTGCTCCCGGGGGTGACGTACGAAGAACCGGGATCAATTTGAGTTCGCCAGATACCAAGTTGGATACATGTTCTGATGAGGTTTGCAAAGAGAGACTAGTTGTGGCAGGATATTGGTTGAGAATATAAATCTGCAGTGATGATAAATATCTTCGCCTTGTTGTAATGTAAACATAGTCCATTGCTTGAAAGGCCGTACTACACGCGTACACAGATCGGGACGGTTCCTGAGTTCAGGACTTTCTTGGCCTTATTCCTACCACTAATGATTACTTTGCGGATATACAAGTCTTCGGCGGCAGACTCGCACTCTCTATCATAATATTAAGATTCAAGGTACAAAGCATCACCTAGTGGTTATTTTCTGTCACATGAGAAAAGACCTATGTCGACTGCGCTAAATTGGAGAAATTTCACCCAGAGTGCATTCAGGTCCATAATACACGATAGTAGCATCACTTTGAGGAATTAGTAATTAAACGAACCCAAAGTGCTTTAAAGGACTAGTCCTCCACAGGCAATGCACCCTCAGCCTGCATCTCGAGCGCCACCTCGTCAACCTTCTTCCATACCCTTAATAGATTTCCTCCTGCCACCTTACTTGCATCATTGTCACTCACTCCTCGTTTGAGCAGCTCCTTAATCAGATGCGGGAACCTGGACACATCCTCCAATCCCCGAGGAACCGTCGGAATACCATCAAAATCACTACCTATTCCAACATGTTCGAAACCTATAAGATTCCCAATGTGCAGGATATGATCAGCAACTCGTTCCAGAGTGGCGTGAGCAGGGTCCTCGTCTGGGATCCCATCGGCGCGGTCAGAAGCCGTGCAGGAAATGAAGTCTGGTGCAAAATTGACCATAACCAGGGAGTTCTTCTCACGGACCAGCTCCAAGATGTCGTCGGGTACGTTTCGCGGGTGGGGACAGATCGAATAGGCTGAGCTATGGCTGTAAATCACTGGAGCACGGCTCCCTATCCACTCGGACTTGCCGGCGCCCAGCACATCACGCATGGTCTCCGTGCTGACATGAGCTAAATCGACGATCATTCCAAGGCGGTTCATCTCAAAAACCAGCTTCTGGCCTTCTTCGCTGACGCCATGCCAGAGAGGATCGGACTTTTTTATTCCACCGTCTGGAAGTTCGAGAATGGCGGCGTCGGCATATCGATTATGGCAATTATGCGTCAGAGTTGCGTACGAAACCCCCAGCTCATAGAAGATCCGGAGATGCGCCAGTGAGTTGCCGATCGAATGTAAGCCTTCGATACCAAGCGGTGAGATGATCTTTCCCTCGCGGAAAGCGGACATGGCAGTGGTACCATTGGGGGGCTTCGAGAAAACCGTGGGATATGCTTGTTGAACTCTCGACATGATATCCACCTGCTCCATAGTCTCACGCACGCCTATCATTCTGATGTGAGTATGTGTGCGAAATCCATCGTACCAAATTCTCTTACTTGATGCATAATTCTCGTCGGAGAAATCGGTCCCATTCTTGGGACAGGGGACGAAAACACTCCAAAATGTACCACCAACTCTACCTTGTTTTAATCGGGGGATATCAACGTGACCAGGAAATTTGCCGTTGACAAAAGCCTCAGTGAAATTGCGATCATTTACGCGGTTATGGAAGAGTTCCCGAACCAGGATGGGAAGGTCATCATGCCCGTCTGTTTTAGGCTATCAGTCAGAGTTATTCCCACGGTTTTTATCTATCCAATCTCCATACCGATCAATGGAGTCTGAGACAGGATCTTCTGCACCCTTTCCTCAATGCTCAGGGGGAGTAAAGGAGAGCGCAACAGTGTGAACCAGGCGGTGGCTACAATGATAGAGAGAAACAACCAAAGTATCTTGAAGGGATGGTTCTTCTGCTTCAAAGTTGGCGCATCTGCTTGGCTCTCCAAGACGAGGCTCTTCTCTTCGCTCATTGTGGACATCTAGAGTGTTACGAGGTCGAAGAGCGGAGATGCTTATCGATAAGGCTGGCTTAGCCTCGGCACGACCTCGGAGTCTTCATGCTAGTCGATAGTTCATGACAAGATCAGCCACAAAAAGTTCATAAAGAGTAGATAGGTAATTTCGGTGGACTCAAGTGATATATATTTGTATGTATGTGTGCATCAAGGTTGTATATATGTTGGTGTGAGTGCCTAAGCGGCCTCCAGGGCTAGGCACGTGCACATAACGGTGCTGACTGACCAGTTAGGCGGTGAGAACTCGGGTTTAATCTATTCACACCGCCTTCAACCCGTAGATGCCCCGGTAGATTATCAACTTAGACGAGTAGGCTGGCCGGGTCCCTTGTTTAACATCCTTTGGGATTTCCAGGACTTCATTTTAGGGAAGATAAACATAATCTCAGTTCTCCATATCGCAAAGGCTTGCCATAATGCAGCCTGGCAAGACCACCGCCGGTCTACTCCCAATTCCGGCAGCAGCTACGCAAAAGTCGGGCTCTGGAGCGCCCGCAAGGAAAACGCCTAAGCCTCCTGCTCCACGTCTCAAACTTCTCATTCGACGTTTGCCACCCGGGCTAACACAGGCCGAGCTGGAGAGTGCTCTTGGGGACCAGTGGAAGGCTGGAGCAGGGAACGTTGACTGGCTTCAGTACAAACCTGGCAAGGTGTCGAAAGAGTAAGATTCACCTTCCTCTGATGCAAAAGCGTATTTATTTCGACTGGCTGACGGGACTTCTTCAAATAGCCCCAACAAACCGTCTCGCCCGTCAAGAGCATACATACACGTCGTGTCCACCGAATGTGTCTCTTTGCTCTCGGACGCTGTGCGCCAGGCTTCTTTCCAGGATGCCCGTAACACTCTACACGACCCCATTTTGCTGGGGCCTCCGTCGCTGGAGTTTGCACCTTATGCCAAGACCCCCGGAAGCCGCTCGCGCAAGGATGCTCGTCAAGGCACGATTGATCAAGATTCAGACTTCATCGCTTTCTTAGAAAGCCTGACCCAGCCCATTACCAGGCCTGTGGCTGTGGATTCTACACCCGATGGCGAGGACAAGAAGAAGCAAGCCGTAATGACCACCCCGCTGGTACAGTTCATCAAAGACAAGAAAGCCAGCAAGTTAAAGGACGGCAGTGGGTCCAAATCTAAACACAGTCGGTCGGACAAGGAATCAAAGCAGGAGAAGGTACAAGCAAAGAAACTTCTACAACGAGGCGATAAGGAACCCTCGGCAAACTCTTCCGACAAGAAACCCAAAGGAGAAAAGACAAGCAAAGACTCTGTCAAAGCAACCAAACAAGGAGCCGCTGCCAATGCCAAGGGAGGCAAGTCGAGTACGACATCAAACGCTACAAAGGATACAGCCGCGGCTCCAGAGCGGAAGAGAGAGCGCGGAAATGTCACAGCAGCCACCAAGATTCTTCAGCGTGATCTTGGACTATCGACATCTGGTGGGCGACGACGCGGGAAAGGTACTTCGACTGATACTGCGTCACCTAAGAACGAGAGCTCTCGAGACTCGGCTATTCCATCAGCCGATCTGTCCAAGGAAACAACCAGGCCTCCTAAAACCGCATCATCCTCAACCAATGCTCCAAAGCCCAAGGACAGCGAGTCATCCTCGCGACCCGATGCGGCTCCACCGCCACCTGCAACCTTACCAGCCAAGTCCACTAAAGCTGGCAAATCCAAGCACCCATCAACTGCTAAACAAGCATTCCTCAAGCACGCCAATCCATCCCAGGGTGTGACCGAGGCACTTCTGCAGTCTGCATTCACCCCATTTGGAGCAGTGACGAAGGTCGAGATTGACAAGAAGAAGGGATTCGGATACATAGATTTTGCTGAACCGGAAGCACTTCGCAAGGCCATCGCTGCTAGTCCCGTATCGGTGGCCCAGAGCCAAGTGGTGGTCTTGGAGCGGAAAGAGAACCCCGGAATCGAAAAGTCTCGGAAGGGACGTGAGGGGTTCACTGCCAACAAGACGAAGGCTCCCACGGAAGCTTCTGGGAGCACTTCAGGTGCTGGCGGTCATGTAACTGGAGGTAACGCTGGCTCCTCCCGCGGATCTCGTGGAGGGCGTGGATCACGGAATAAGGGACCCAAGAGTGGAGCTTCAGAGAAAACTGGAGGCACCGAGGCGGAGTGAGGGCAGGGCCTACACATTGAGTTCTTTAGCAATTCACGAGACATGATACCAGACGGCATGACAGGTTTTACCGACAACTACATAATGGCCGCGGCAAAGCATTTGATTTGATAGACTATACATAACCAATTCATTGAACCAGGCAATACCAATATTTCGATGTCCGAAAGGATGTCGCAGGGTTATGAAACCGATGAAGAGGTAAGGTTGAAGCAGAAGAACCGTCCGAGACATTACAAAACTAGGTTCGACCAGTACTGTCAACAGACAAAGCAGCGAGCGGTATACAACGTCTTGAGGAAAAAAGTACGAACAGGTTTGAATCTAAATGACTGAAAAAAATGAATGTAATTTTTTGCTATGTGCATGAACCCCCCACAGCTCAACATACCATCTACCAAGAAGGAAGAGGACCTTTCAGACCTCCTCGACACCCACCAGGACCGACCGACCGAAATCAGACGTCGAGACCAGGTCAAGATCATCACCACTCCCTAGACCGAAACACAGACACTGCGAACAGCACGCGTGACAGTCGAGGCGGGAGTAAAAAGGTTTCACTTTAGGGCATCGAGGACATGTAGTCATCAGCAAGGGTGGAGATTCTGTGGCTCTTTTAAAGAGTTTAGAAAGGGGACGTCTACTCTAAAGTGATTCTTTGAACTGTGAAAAGGTCAGCAAAATGTTCGATCACAGTGAAAAAATGGTTTTCTGCTGTATGGGGGGGAAGAACATACGTAGAGTCGCTTGAAAAAGAGAAGAAGGTCTGGGGGCTTGGGCTTCTTTATATTCCTGCCGGGCACGCTAGTGCTAAGCGAGATTGTCGTGTATTTGTCTGGTTTGTCTGGTTTGCTTGGTTTGGCTGTTCTCCGGTGGGTCGTCCTGTCCAATCATTTTCTTAGGGCGGATCCTTCATTGAAATTTTCAACTTCAGCGTTCTTCTACTCGTCTGTATCATTTTGCATTACTTGATTATTTGTCATTTCTCTAATTCTATGTGTCACTCAATATTTCCTATCTATTCAAAATACGTAATAACAGAACCTCAAGAAGTACGCCGTACATGACCATCCTTCTCCCGAGGTCGGGCCGCGGACGCTTATCGCTTATCGCTTATCGCTTATCCTTGTATGCGGGGATCTCATCCAACCCCAGACCCGTGGACTTGTAGACTCTTCAAGCATGCCACGCCCCAAGGTCCATCCAGCGAATCGGCTGCGAGCGAACACTGCATGCACTGCCTGTCGTGCATCCAAAAAGCGCTGCAGTGGTTATTTCCCATGCACCAACTGTATCCATAAAGGATGTGGCCGCTCATGCACCCCATTCAAGTCCTTATCACACGCAGGCCTCCGAAGCCCTCTCGTACCTGCTTCACGACCCACAGTTGAGGCGCCTCGGACACGGAGGGGGGTGTCAGTGGAGTCGCAAAGCCTCCTGACGTCACAGTCTCATGACATTGGTACGCCCCGTGTCGAGCCTGACACGCCCGAAGTGGGATCGCACTCGCCTGAAGTTACGCATCGGACACATCCACGCATGCTCCGCAACCTGCAAGGGGAACGAGGTATGAACGTTTGCGACCGCCATGCATATCATTTGATTGACACTGTCCGCAGTGTACGTCGGGAAGGCCGCCTCTCTATCATTCCTACAATTGCTTCGGGATACAGTGACCCAACATATTGGGCCCTCGCAGTTCTCTCATAATGGGGCAAGTGAGGATATGTTAGAGACAGAAGCTCATCATGATCTGTTGAATTTCTCTGGAGAATGTTGCACTGTTGCTGAGAAGGAGCGATTTATCCAGAATTACCACGCAGCGGTAGGCCGAATACCAATCATGAAGGGTAGATGACTTACTGACAGTATGAAAGACGAGCGGATTTTTCAATTTGAGCTTTAGTGACGACGTTTCATCCTCATTCATTGACCCAGCAGAGCCCAAAACCGATCGGGAAAAGACTAGGGCAGCCATCATGGACCTTATGGTTGCTATCGGAGCACAGTCCTCTCCGAATGACCGAGAATTCCTTCAGGTGGAGCGGTTCTACTTTTCTCGCGGTCAACGTAGGACATTTGCCAACATGTTGGAAGATCCTAGCGTGGATTTAGTCCGAGTGTTTCTACTCATGTCCTTCTATATGCTGGGCGCATGCCGTCGTAACACTGCATTCATGTACCTGGGAGTGGCTTCAAGAGCAGCAGTGGCGCTTGGGTTTCATGCGGAATTTTCAGGTTCAATAAGCCCCGATGAGAGTGGTGAGAGAAATGAACGGTAAAAGCTTCTCGCAAGATCTTCTTTGGCCCAGCTAATCTCAAATAGATCACGATTGTGGATGAGCTTATGTATTCTCGATTTGCTTGTCAGTTCGATCCTCGGGAGACCTTCTGCTATATCACCTCTATTACCCGAGAATCGACAGGGACCTAGTTGGGGGGCCGCACCGAGTGATCCTGGCCTGGTGGCCTCATATCAGCTGTCGTTGATCCTCGATAAAATCATAAACTGCCTTTACAGTGATAAGGCCGCATCCGCACAACAGGCAGACCTGCTATTATGCAAATTAAACGGCTGGGGTGAATATTTGCCGAGTTCATTAAGGACGTCGTCTTTAGGACATCAAGACCAGAGTACTTTCCAAGAGCATACAATTGGAAACATGCACGTTGCATGTTCATATCATTTTGCTGTGATCTTAGTCACCCGACCTTTCCTCGTCTCGGCTTTAAGTGTCCGGCTGGCCCGGTTACATCAGAGTCTGTCGACCGGTGATCCCAGTGAGGTGCCTGAGGAGGACCCAGCCCACTCTCGTCTCGCAGCGGCATGTATTGATTCTGCTGTATACATGCTCCAAACATGTCTAGAGGTTCATAAGTCCGGCCTCCTCCTTCGGAATATGTGTATTCTCAAGTTAGTCTGCGTGTATATTTATCTAGTAACTCCAATACTAATCTCAAACAGAGCGTTTATCTTTGCCGCAGCCCTTGTACTCGGGTTCTCTATGTTCTCTCACCGTGACGTCGATTCTGAGATTGATGAGGTATTCTGCGGTGCCCTGACCATCTTACGCATGCTGGCGCCGCAGTCTGCCCAGGCAGCTCACTACCTAGAGATAATAACAAAACTCGAGGCCGCCATAAGCAAACAGCGCCAGCAACTCGCTACCCAAGCCCGACAGCGACGGAGTCAATACGTCAGTCGGATATTTAGCATGAACGACAGCCCGGCAACACCGCGGACACCAAGTGAGGGGAACGAAGAAGAAGCAAATACGACCCCGCATCTATCGCAGAGTGTCACATCAAATGGGTGGTTAGATTCAAACGACAGCGCAGCTGCTGTGTCACCTCCCATGATTGAGGGGACTTTATTCGACTGGGAGGGTATGAATTTACCATTATGGGATAGTTTTCCATTCCTCGCGGAATCGACTACGATCTAATGAAATATACTACACTTGAATTATAGGTTTAGTTGACTAGGACTTGAGATGTCGATCAATTTTCTTCTAAACGGACGACTTCACGGTCGGAACCAAGAATCCAGAAGGATAAAGGTTCGAAGTGTCCCAGTAGAGCTGGTAAATATCGTCGACATCCGTAGCCTTCAGACGGAACGAATCGTGCAGAAGTCCATTCTCATTTTGCCACATGAGATACCTGCCATAGAAAAGAAATTGATCTACCTTCGCATCGTCCGGTGTATCATCGTCCCCAGTGAAGCCCACAGGTAGCACCTTATTAGGCGTGGGACGGATGTAGAAGAATGTGTCAGATTCAAAGGTGTAATCCTTGTTGGTGGCCGTGGCGATGATCTGGGAGTTATTGAAGACAACTAATAGAGTATGAGCCGTTGCCTGGTTAAAAGAAAAGCGCAAATGCAAATGAGATAAAAGAGAAATATCATACATGTAACATCGGTTGTCACCGATCCAGACACCCACTGAGACGAATCGCCGACATATGCGAGTCCTAGGTATCGGGTCAGATGGGAGTCAGACTCATAGGGGAATTTATAATAACCATCCGAATAAAAGACTTTCACTCCGTCGGATGCGACACCGTAGGCAAGAATGGAGAAGGATCCTGTTGGATAGCGCTTTTGCAGCTCCGATTCAGAGGGTGCAGCTATAACTTGCAAGGCCAAAGCCAGACTGATCGGTAGAATATTCAATCTCATTTTTTGTTTTCGATGATGATTCTGGAGAGAAGATCATTTAGATATCAGCGCTGGGTGTGCGGTTGGGCAGTTATAATGTCTTATTGTCAGACAATTAACCAGTGACCAGAGACAACCTGGAAACAGACTAGGGTGACGCGTCAGATGCACTTGACGGCTGCTACTTGGATTAACTGCGTAATAATAGGGTTTAATATATGAAGGGAGTCGATTTGATTTGGACCTGATCAGAATCTAATTAATATAGAAACCAGTGGCATTACTACATGCAATATGAACTGGAAGCCACTACAAATAACCCCCGGTCTCGGTGTCAGCCGAACAATGGCAAGTAAGCAAGGTCTTCTGCATTGTAACCCCTCTACCTGATGACTTCTCATTGGTAACTGAGGAACCAATGTCAATGTGGCTTATTTCTTGGCATGATCATTGAAGTCGAAGGGGAAATGGTTCAATAAGGCCAATTCCCCGGTTACGAGTAATCAAAGCCAACGGCGAGCTCGTTGAGCTGCCTCAACCGTTCCATACCAATTGCTAGGAGGTGGAGGCGGCAGCTCATTGTTATCCCTCTAAGCTTGTACCATTCACTGACAGCTCACACCTTCCAGCCTTGGAAATAATACGCTTAAGGGGCAGTTCATGTTTGGCAGGTTCGACTTGATGTATTTGCACTCGATATCTCATCAAATTGCTATGTTCTACTTGAGCATCTATATCATTCGCCATACAACCCTGCAAAAAAGGACAATTGAAGTGCCAACGTAACTCAAGTTCTACTAGTATTTGCCACTTGCGAGGTCAGCTTAGGGTATCTCAAGAGTTAAGCTTACTCGGAGCTTCTACATTAGTCGTATGTTGAGATTATTATAGTCATTGCTTTGCCTATATTGCTTAGTTCAAAAAGATATGTCTCTTAAAACCAACACTCTCAATTGCCTTAAACTCAGACGAAGCTCATGTATCTACTATTCCTAGATTACAAAGGAAAACAATTAACCCTACTAACTACATAACTACAACAACAATATACTCACAAGGAACGACATGAATTGAATCTGTGCAGACAACGAGAACCGCCCATTAAACGTATTTACCCAACACAGCAGCGGAATGAGATATCAAAAATGAGATGTCAAGACAGAATGCAACAAGGCTTAGACATTGGATTCAGAGGAGCTTAGTGAGTGATAGATATGAAATGGGCCCAGAGATGACCGTGAGGAACGATGTGCTAGAAGGACAGGAGAATAATGAGGGAAAATGTAAATGAAATGAAAGAACAGAACAGTCCGGTTACCCACGCTCCCAATAATACTCAATGACAATGACAATGACTCAGATGCACACGATGCAGAAAAAAAAGAGAACAGAGTTGAAAAGAAATGACGGCAGAGAACAAGTGGGAAATATGCACCGCCATACCGATTAGATTGGTCGGAGGAACATTCATTAGATCAACACCTAAGACAAGATCCTCGAGGTGGGAGGGAATATCTTGAGTTTAGGATGGACAGGCGCTGCTAGCGCCTGTCTAGACCACCGAGCCTTTTCGAGAATGTCGTTTTTTTGGATTGGCGGAATATCCACCGGAAGCACATTGTATCGGTCAAATTGCTCTGAATAGAGCATACACCAATCCATAGGATCAATTGTGATCCACGCGGACAGCACAGCTTCTGTTCATGCGATGAAAAAAAAAAAAATCATGAAACACCTTATTGCGCCGGAATCGATGCATGTCTAGACAAGAATGCAGGCTCGGTGGATATGGACCTGACCAATATGGCCAGACACAGGTCACTGAGCGATGCAAGAAACTCCCGCCCAAAACTTAAATGAAATGCGTGTAGATCTTGGAATTCTCATGAACTTCCATCTCCTGTATTAATGTTAGTAATGGCACAATCGAAGTATAGAACAATGCAAGTAACTCACCATCTTGAAGTTATTAATCTCCTCCCGAATCTGTTGAGCAAGCAACGGGGTGAGACGGTTGCAAGTCGCAATCTCTCCACGTCGATCGTACTCGCCGCTAGGCCAGGTTTCGTGGAACTGGATGCGAGGACTGAAGACGATATTTCTACCAGCAACATTTGACGGGGTGATGGGCGCACTCTTCGCTTCAGAAGACGAGAACCGCGCCGAGAGGAAATAGTCCTCGCCGGCAATCTTTACCGGATCATTTTGGTGAGCTGGGGATCGTGACGACTCGTCGGGTGTGGGAGGAGCACTAGAGTGCGGTGAATCACTACCGGGGAGTGCATGTGCAGGCGAGGAGACACCGAAATCCGAGTGAGTTTCTAATAAGGTCAGTATGCTAAAATGTCAAGTGTATTTGTGTGGAGATACGCACTCTTCAAGATACCCTTGCGGACGGCCGCCAGGATCTCCGCCCGTTCTCGGTCTCCTCCCATGATGCTCTTACGCGACTGAGAGTTCTCCGATGCGGCTCTTTCCCGAATGGAAACGGATCGTCTGACCTCCGATGCATTGTCAACCTTAGGGAAGACAGTAGCCCCACGGGGCAAATCTGCGGGGTCGGGGTTGACAGCGACACGCTCCCGTTCTGCCTCAACGTTCACCACGGTGATCTGCGGGGCTGGAATTTCGGGGATCGCACCCTCCATGGAATTGATGCTGGCCACGGATTTAGGACGGAACATGCCAACCAATGAGCGAGTGGAGCGCTTCATGCCCTTGCCCATCTTGCGAAGCATCATCGACGCCGAGGAGGCGGTCGATGACACTGATAGGTTATCGTTGGACCCGGTGAAGAAATGGCCTTGATGGGAATAGATGCTTTCACCTAGTCCGCTCAGTTCCTGCTGCTCGGCAATAGCGGCTTGTTCCGGGCCAAGTTGTTCTCTCAGAGCTTCACGGCGCGCCTGGTCCGCGGCAAATGCTTCCCGCTTGGAAGCATTACTTTGTGCAGATGTCTTGAGGAGCTCGGAGGCACTGCCAAACGAGAAAGCCCGTCTCAGGCGTGATTTCCCGGGGCGCTTCGTGTCCATTTTCAAATCGTTGAGACGCTTCGCAGCAGGAGAATCCAGTGTAGGCGGTGGTGGCTTTTTCGGAGCTTCGGCTGGAGGTTTGGGTTTGGGGGCTTCGGGTTCTGTCGATACCGGTTGCGATAATGGCGATGGCTTGCTCGTACGTTTTTCTTCTGCCTTGCCGGTCTTGCTAGTGACGGAGTTGGATTCCGATGGCGTCCCTTCTCGTGCCTGTGAAATTGACACCGTTAGCGCTGCATTATTCCCATGCGACCTTGTGAATAATCCTACCGAGGAGGCCGACGAGTGTGTCGAGTTAACGCTACCCACGCTATCCCGCTGAGAGTGAGAGGAAGCAGGCCGTTGATTGGCATCAAATGTGATAAAGTCGTAGGATCCCGATTGGGGTTGAGAGGAAGGTGAGGTCGGGAAATCTAGCGGCAGGTTTGGGTACGCCGCGGCATCCATATTGCCCAGACTTCGTCGTCGATATCGTTCGGGCTGGGCCCTATCGACATAAGATGAATCATCCACACTTGAGACGCGACTGTGGGCGCTTGGTCGAACTGGTCGAGGGCCACCAAAATCATCGACAATCACGGTCGGAATCGGCGAGGGAGCAGGCGATGATGGTGCGGCTTCCGCTCGTTGAGGGGTACGACGATACCGGTTCGGGGAGGGTTTCGGTGACGAGATGTTCATGATCGGGGGGGAGGGAAGGTTGGCGGTAGATAGGGGACGGAGCGGCTGGTCGCTCCTCGGCCGCGAGGGAAGTGCGCTATCGTCCTTGGAAACATAGGAACGGGAGGAAGAGTTGGAGGGATTGGATACAGAACCAGCTGCAGGATGAGAGGATCGGGGGCTGGCACCGGTGTATGTCGGATTCACCGGCACTTGAGGGGTGGTGGGTGCAGAAAAGGTGCGATGTTCTGGCCGGAGATGTGGTGTCCAAGATTGCCGATTCTGGACGGATTGGCCCATGTTTGGGTTGTAGGCATAGGGAGCCACTACCGGGTGGCCCGCTCGATAAGTCCCGGAATTACCAGCATTGAATGATGTCCAAGACATAGTCTGGATACGAGAGCCTTGATTCTGGGTGGAAGAAGAGAAGGTGCCTGATGAGGATGAAGGACGCGTCTGAAGCACAGGTACCGTGCCACTCTGTTGCGGAATTGTTTGAACCAACGCAGCCATATTGTTTTCCCCAGCAAATTGTCCCAAGGAAATCACGAGTTGTCCAGGGCTGTGATCTAAGGCAACTCGCAAATAGAAAAAAAAAGAGATAGAATATGAGCCCGAGGTGTGTTCGTGTCAAATAAGGATCCGAGGAACGAGATGGGATGCTGCGACCAAAGAGCTGTCAGCTATCTATCACCCAAATAAGAACCCTCACGTTGTTAATGCGATATGAAGGGTGGAGTTTGTAAGGAAAGGGGTCGTGCTCTGCGTATTTTTTTTTTCTCTTTTGCTGTGCACGTTGGGGGGGAATAAGGAACCGCGTCAGCTAGGGGGGCAACCATACCTGTTCTAAAGTAACGTGGACATAGACTATAGTGGTACAACAATTAAAAAAAAGGACGCTTGATGCCAGAAGAATGAAACTCGAAACCAGGCGAGTTGGAAGAAACGAAAGGAGGTGGGCAAAAAAAAGAGGGAGATCCCTAGGATGATGAGACGTCTCTAGAATAGGAGAGCCATGTACAAGAAGAAAAAAGAGAGTAAACAGAATCAACCCCAGGACCTTCAGATGACAATGACACTCGAATGTGTCTGTTTCTTAGAAGTGGGAAGAGAAGAAGAAGGGGAGGAGATGAGAGGAGGGAAAATAGGAGGGGGAGAGATCACGGTAGACACGGGGTAGATTAGGTCCGGGAGTACGGACTCCAAGGCCAACTTGAATGGAATTGGAATAGGAATTGAATGGAATTGGGAAATAGTATAGGGAAATGGCCAGGTCAGTTAAATCGGTCAAATAGCTAGCCAAAAAAGAGAAATTCGTTTCTGAACTAA